TTTTTCTTCAATAGAATAGAGCTTTCACATAACGTTAGGGACTTATTCGCGTGTTCTGTTATTTTTTTCTAATCATTATATCACTAGAAAAAAATTTCCTCGACGATATTGTACTCATCACGTTCATAGAATATAGAATATTCATCTACAAATTTATTTTATAAATAAATAATACAAATAAAACAACAGAATTTTGTTTTCATAAAAATAAATATAAATAATTATTTCATACGTTCAATCATTTGATATTGACGTAATTGAAGATCAGCAAAATCATCTCGTAGAAGAACATCTCGATAAATTTGATCTTTAATATTTTGTGCAGTTGAATGACGTCGATTATCATCTTTATAACAATGACGTAAGATTTTCTTATATAAATTTCTTAAATAACGCTTAGCAATGCGTTTTAATTCCGTACGAAAATGTTTACCACTTAAACAATAAACATAAAAATTTAATGAACAACTAGCTAATATAATAATACTTGTCCAATAAGCAAGTTGAGCATCGGATGTCGAAAAATAGACTAAAGATGTTGCACTGAATGAGAAAAAAAATAATAATGAATGTAATATTAATACAATATTCATCCAGGACATTTTGCCAAATGGTACATTCGATGCAGGTGTAGTCGTATTTTTAAATGAACAACGTCGAATTGAACCTCGACGTTGTTGTTGTTGTTGATTTGCATCATATGCATTTGACGATGGAACTTTTGATGTTGTACCAGTTACTGTTGATAATGATAATTGATTATTATGTTGATATTCTTGTCGTCGTCGAACATGAGCTGTTGTTCGTAAAATACATATAATTATTCCAATATTAAATAGACCAACTAATACTGATGGAATAATTTCTGATAATAAAAATCGTATTGTAGTATGATTAAAATTAAATGATGACTTTGTAAAATAATTTTCCCATGCTGGTGAAGTATGACTGGGATTAAATGTACATTTGATAGGTGAATCTGTTCTATTTAAACTAGAAATAAAAATAGTAAATTAGAAATATTTCAATTATTTATTTTTTCTTCTTACCTAATAGGATATGGTGCATAAAATATTGTTATTGGTCCTGAAACAATCATAACTATAAATAATAATATACATATCATATAAACATATTTATATTTTTCAAATATTCGATATCTTTCATGTCGATGAAATAAAACATTTAAACGAGATGAAACATAAATAAATCTTTCAATAACCCAAAAAACAGTTACCCATGCGGCGATAACACGAGATGATGATGATAAACGAAAAAATTTACATGCTAACCAATGTATATGGATAATATTGTCTGTCAACCAAAGTCGTGTAGCTGAATGAAGTAGTAATGAATAACGTACAATACATATTAAATTAACTGCAAATGATGTTAATGCTAATGTTGCATATGTTGAACAGCAACGAAAACGACGTGATGAAAAAACAATGAGACCAAGAACATTTCCAATGAAACCCAAAACAAATAAAATAATACATGTATAATCATTCACCCTAACCATCATATCGGTATCCATCTTAAAATACATGCTTCAAGAACTAGAAAAAGATATGAAATGATACTAGGAAAGAATAAAGAAGAAGAAGGAGAAGAAGAAAAGATAGAAGACGAGAAGAGAAGAGGAAAAGAAGAAGAAAAACTATTTCTATATTACACTGTTTTTTGCACAAAATAGAAACGAGAGTATTAAGTTGATGTCAAAATGGCTTCTTAGAGAATGAATTCAATAATATATCATATCTTTCAATAATAATACTTTATCTATTGAGAACGACATAATGTGCACACAAAAGAAAAACTTTTTACAGAAAGAATTTGCATGAAAAAATCTTTTTTGATGTAAAGCGTAGATCATCTAGAATTAAAGCAACCGTTTTGTCTATTTTCTATGCATGATTACACACAAAGCTTAACTCCACCCACTGAATATACTTGAAAATATTTTAATCTGCAGACAAACAATACAAATATTAAAAAAACTACATTGTTACTCACTTGGATGAGTTCTATCTAGTGATGCATTAAAAATATATTTGAAATTGTCTACTACCTTTATTTTAATTGAAAGAAATTATATGCGTATTTTCGTATTTTCTCAAACTTAATGAATATGAATGAGATTTTCGGATGTTGTTAAGACATGCGTGAATGTCAAAACTGATCATTGATGTAATGATATGAGTGTATTAGATTAAAAAGCAAAAAAGATAACGTTTCAGCAATCTACATCATTGAAAACTTTATTTCATGCATAGATAAACACATGAGAAAAAAATAATCTTTTTATTTATCAACAATTTATTTTGCTTTTTCTTATATTCCTAACGATTTCTTCTTTATTTTTTTGGATTTAACGCTCACCTCATTAAAAAGTATTAAACCTAAAAATAAAGTTCATGATTTTGATTGCGTTTTATTCTTTAGAAAAAAAATAGAAATACTTCATTATACTAGTTAAAAATAAATCGCTTAGAGTATTTATAAATCACGATATCCAGAGTGTAAGAATATCAATGAGTAAACTTTTGAAAAGTGAAATTGCAATAGAATAATAAACGATAGATAAATATATTTTCTTTTGGTAAAAATATTCTGTTTTCTTTTCATTATATATTATTAAGTCTATGTCAATTATTCGAATATATTTGAGCGGAAACCTAATTTTTATTCTACTGTTAAATGAACCTATATATGTTTACAAGCAACAAATAATCATCCGGAAAAATCATATTTTATATATTATAATTAAAATAACGATGAAAATATTTCGTTAGTCTGTAACTAAAACTAACTTTAGTTCTTAGATTTAAGCATCATATTCCATTGACATTTGACCTTATGCTCGTTCTTTTCTTTCCGTATAGTTAGATTTCTATAGCCTTGTTTCATTCCATATAGTAATAAATAACTAAACATAATCGATTATTATTCAGAATATATTTATACGATTTTCATATCATTAGTGAAGAATAAAGTCAAGTATTATATTAATTATAAAATGATGTTGATTATTCATAAATATCTATATAAAAAATTTAAGTAAGCGATTTTTAATGAGTTATATTTAGAATAAACTTCATATGATTAATAGACATGCAAATGAACTCTATAACTATGAAGATTATTGAATGAAATCTTAAAACTAAATCATGAAAAAGGTTTCGAAGTTCATTTCAAAGCTTAAAATAGAAAATATGTCAGACATTGACGACATATGTTTATTAGTCTATATATAAATATTTGATAAATCTAGAGTAATTTTTAAATTTTAATTTCAAATAAAGTCAAAAAACATATTGACATTTCTACTATTACAATATCTAGGTTAACAAGAGAACATTCGTAATACAATAGATAACATCAACATTAAAACTCTTAGTATATAATCATAATGAACTAATGTATATTTTTAGTTCGTTGATAGTAGTCTAAATACTATTGATGTAATCAAAATAAATAATTATATATAATAGATACCGGGGAATTAACATAAGAAAATACCTCGAGATCTTTCTATATTTATCATAAAACTAACATTTGTTAATAAATTCTAATATAAAGATTCACATTGTATTGCAGAACAAAAATGACTTAACTCAAATTTGTTTTCATGAATATTTTTTTGTATAATATGAATAAATGTAAATTGATATGATTGCTATTTCCAAGATTTTTCTTATTCAATAAGACTAGCAAAAAAGTTAAAAAGTATGTAATTATAATATTCTATTACTCAAATTATATATATTATTGATAGAGAATATTTCTTTAGTTAGTTAATTAATTCAATGTGAAATACGTAATTTTTTCAAATGTTGATCAACTTATTGATGAAGAAAAATCGTACTTAATAACTGACTTTTGCAATAATTTGCGTCTCATGAGTGCATTTACTAAAATAGATATAGGACTAAATGTTCTTAGATAATGAGAATTTTTCTTCTATTTAAGTCTTTTCTTTATTGTTGAAAATCGATTAGACAATATCATTGATGAGATGAATAGCGTAAGCTCGTCATTTCAATAATGATAAAGACTACAATGCTATTATAAAGATTATAACACTATGACTATTCTATATGAATAATTTTCTATAAACTAAAGGAAATGTCTTTGATATAATAATATCTAAAAATGGAATGAATATACGCAATGGAATATTAACAAAGAAAAATAGTTCGACAGGAAAAAAAATGCTGATTATTCTTTTGACTTCGTTGATAATATATCATACGTTTTGAATGAATTCAAGCAATGATTATTTTTTTAGATATGATAGGGTTTCGATTCAATAATGATCTTTTGCAAAGTAAATAACCCATCTAATTTTTTTGATTTTTATATTTAATAAACTGCGAGAATCTAGGATAGGATAGAATGATCTTATCTATTTAGATAAATCAATATAATACGAACGAGTACATTTTCATTAAAAAATATGCATATTAACATGAACAATTTTGGGATAGTCTTAAGCTAATAATCGTAAATTTAATAAGAATCAGAAGAAAAACTATACAAGAATGTTTGTATTTGTCTCCTAAGGCTCAATCAATCTATGCCGTACAAACTAATTCTGTCTATAATTGTTAAAACAAAATATAGATATATCCCGAGAGCTTTATTTGTTTATGTAAAGAAAATTAACTGATCTTATTTCGAAATACACGAACATATTCTAAAGGGAATCAGTATCTTTCCTGAAAAAAATATTAAATACTTAGAAGAAAACTCTTTCTTCAACAATGTCTTGTTTTTCATTGTTTTGATACCAACAAAGCACAATCACAAGAAAGATTTACTTTAGACGTTCACTTAAAATAAAATTTCGGATTGATCTTATTTTTTCGATACAATCTTGACTATACTCTTATACTTACATGAAAATGACTATATATAATTTAGATGAACTTTATGGATTTATTTTATACAATTATGTCGGCAGACGTGTATTGTGATACATCTGGTTGAGAATGCAATATTTCATTGAGATTATCATGCACAATATAAAGAATATTAGTCTTATTATATGACAGAAAATTTTCAAACAGTCTATCAGATTTTAATGCTTAGAAATGACATGTTAGTTAGTTTTTTCGTCATGTTGTTATAAATATAGGAATATCTGATTAAATAGAATTAAACAGTATGTCGTCATGAATAAAAATTATTTATATTCAGTTGTTTTTGAATGTTAGCAACAATAGAAAATCAGACAAAATAGCTTCCTATCATTTTATTAGTACAATACTAGTTACAATCGATAGTTTTTTGTTTACATATATGAGAAACTTCATTAAATAATACAAAAGAAACGGAAATTTTAGCAGAGATATACTTTATTGTATTTATTTTATATATTATTGATTGTAGCTTTTGTATATTTCATAAGTTTACTTGATATCTATTCAAAAATACCTTTATTTACTAATTTCCTCTATCTCTTCGAAAACAAATAGCAATCGAACGCATTCATTTTTTTCCTGGCTATCAGACTGATGAATAAAATCAATTTAGTATATGTTTTGATCATTTTTATCGAGGTGTAGATAAATCGGTTTGATCGCATTGAAAAAAATTTTTGAATATACGAAACCAAAAAAAGGGTTTCCTAGTAGCTACGAAACCTAAAAGTGGTTTCGATGTTTGTAACCAAATAAAAACTCTTTCAAAGGTTTCGTACATAACTACGAAACCCTTGAGAAAGATTTCTACGTACTTTTTAAACTTCTTAATGGTGTCGCCTGAACGTATGAAACCTAAAAAAGGGTTCCGAGTTTGTTACAAACATCGAAACTCTTTTTTTTCCAGTGCACTAAATTATGAGAAATCATATTTTTTTAGCGACAGAAGAAATAAGTAGATAAGTGACCTTACAGAATATCAAGCATAAAAGTTTGATGCCGTTATAGTAGAATTAATTAAAACCCAATAAGTTCGAATTTGATAAGTAGTTCCATTTTTTTTCAATCTCTTACTCTAGCAAGCATTTCTTCCGATCATTCTTTATTTCGCTGTCAAGAAAAGACTTTCCTGTAGTATAAACAAATCAAATTATCTGTTAATATATTTTTCATTCACAATTTTATCTAGAAATAAAACGAAAATTTAAACTTTTATCTTTCTTAGTATTTGAGAAAGATATCATATGTTAACTACGTTGATTTATTTTAATAACAATCTAATATGAAAAATATATCGTCAATCATTATTGTAAAAATATTACTCATAGTTTTGATTTATTTTTTCATATGAATAAATCTATGGTGTCATTATTCTTATCAGAAAATATATGATAGATAAAAGTATTAGTCATTTTTTTTGTTGTTGTCTCCTTAACAATCGCAGCTTGTGTCGTATAGTACTTATATATAACTGTGTGCATATAAAAGAAAAGAATAGCTTAATAGTACAACGTTGAAAGGTCTATATTTGTCGATAGAAACAAAAAAAAAGAACTGATATTCTACATATAATGTGAATATAATAACACATTTTTATTATTATTATCTATTCTTCTTTTATCATATAAATAATTGTGAATTTATTGTAACTAATATCTATATTTTTTTCGCTATAGAATAAAATGTCTACTATCATGAAGAATTTTAATAAAGAATCGACAGTTGTCGTACATTTTGATCGTGATTGGAAATTTCTACATTTAATCGAAGAAGTACCAGATGCTGATTATGTTTTAATAAATTATAATGATGATCATTGGAATACAATTGAATTACCTCATCGTGATACAAAACATGATTCATCAGCATATTGGTATCGTAAACGATTTGATTGGAGACATAAACCTGATAATAATCAACATGCTTATTTAAATTTTACTATATCAGAAACTGCTAAGAAGAAATCTAAGGACATTAAAATACCAGGGATCATTCTGTGGTTAAATGAAAACAATATTTTTACTGGTACACTTCCACCAAAAGAACCTATTGACATAACAAAATATTTACGTACAAATTCAAATAATGTTATTACTATTTGCTCTGCAGAAGGATATTCACTTTTATTATATGCTCGTCTACTTATGCCAAGTGTATCTGTTGGACAAGTAAATTATGAGGATTTTGATGAAAATACTTTAACAAAACGGCGTAGAACACTTGATTATTCAGCAAGTTTTAATGATACTAGTGGACGTATCGATGTTATTTTTGATTCATATCGAAAAACTCATAAAGAACAACCTCATATAAACGAAGAACAACTTCATATAAATGAAGATAATGAATGGATATATGTATCAAATAATGATATTGATGAAGCGAAAAAAGCATTAGATATTGGTCCTGTTCCACGTCTTGCAATACTTATACTTATTGTTGGTACGCGCGGTGATGTTCAACCGTTTATTGCATTAGCAAAAGCATTACTTGCTTGTGGTCATCGAGTACGTCTTGCTACACATGAAACTTTTCGAAAATTTGTTCGTGAAAATGGTATTGAATTTTATCCTTTAGCTGGTGATCCAGCTGATTTAATGTCATTTATGGTTAAAAATGCTGGTATTGTACCATCAGTTAGTAGTATTGTCGCTGGTGATGTTGGTAAAAGTCGTCGTATTATTGCTGAAATTCTTGCATCAACATGGAAAGCATGTATTGAAGATGATGATGAAACAGGTATACCATTTATAGCTGAAGCAATTATAGCCAATCCACCATCTTATGGTCATATACATTGTGCACAAAAACTACAAATTCCACTACATATAATGTTTACTATGCCCTGGTCACCTACAACTAAATTTCCACATCCATTCGTTAATGTTAATTATGATTTTGGACCCACTGAACGTATTAATGTATTATCTTATGGTATTATTGAAATGTTGGTAAGTCGAAAGATTTTTTAATATTAATTCTAAAATTAATATTTATACCAATTATAGACATGGTCTGGTATGCGTGATATAATTAATGAATTTCGTGAAGAAACACTTCAACTTGCACCTTTACATAATCGACAAGCAATTCATGCCATGATCGATGAACATGTTCCACATACTTATTGTTGGTCACCATCTCTTGTTCCTAAACCAAATGATTGGCAAGAATATATTAATGTTTGTGGATTTTTCTTTCTTGATCTTGCAACAGATTATAAACCATCTGAAGATCTCGTTCGATTTCTTAAAAATGGTAAACCACCTATTTATATTGGTTTTGGTTCTATTACAGGTCATGATCCAGCTCGAATTCTAAAAATTGTATTAGAAGCTCTAAATGCAACAGGATATCGAGCTTTACTATCGGGTTTAGCTCAAGAAGATGATCAATTACCAGACAATGTTTTTAAAATTAATAATTGTCCACATGATTGGCTTTTCCAACATGGTAAGATTCTATTATAATAAATCGTTTATTAATGTTTTTTGTTTCAGTATCTGCTGTATGTCATCATGGTGGTGCAGGTACAACTGCTGCTGGTCTTCGTGCTGGTAAACCAACAATAATTGTTCCATTTTTTGGTGATCAATTTTTTTGGGGAACAATGATTTCGAAAAGTGGTGCAGGTGCACCACCTCTTCCTGGTAAACGTTTAAATGTTGATGAATTAATTGATGCATTCAAACTAGTTCATCAAACAGATACACGTGAAGCTGCTGAAAAATTACGTATTGCATTTGAACATGAAAATGGTTGTGAAGCTGCTGTACAATTCTTTCATTCACATTTACCATTAAAAAAATTGTATAGTGATCTTGAACCGTCATTTGCTGCTTGTTATTATTTAAAAGAATATAATTTACAAATTTCACGTCCTGTTGCACAAGTACTTGTTGCTGCTGGAGCTATTGAAGAATCACAGTTAAGTTTACATTCAACTTATAAATGGGAAAAATTAACAAATGATGATCGTCCACATTTTCCTATTCGTGCAATAATGAGACATGGACAAAAAGCATTTAATTCTTTATTTGTTGATACACCAAAAGGTTTAAAACGTGCAGCAAGTTCAAATAATATATTAGATGGTGCAGAATGTCTTGTTAGAGGTGTTGGAAAAGGTATTGGACATGCATCTATTGGTTGTTTATCATTTTATGGTGATGTTACTGATGCACTTCAACGTTTACCAAAATTATATGATCCATATTCAGATTGTGATCAACATAAACGACCAGAAGTTGATAATTTTCAATCTGGTGCTAAAGCTGCTGGACAATCTGTATGGTATGGATTTAAAGATGGTGTTACAGGACTTATAAATAAACCTCGAGCAGGTTATCAAAAACATGGTGTTTTAGGTGGAGCCGCTGGTGCAGTTGTTGCTTTACCAAATATTGTTATTAAACCTATTGCTGGTACACTTGCTTCATTAACTTGGTTAAGTCGAGGTGTTTATGCTCAAGCAAAAAATATAACAAATAAAAATTTAAATGTTGATCATCGATTATCAGTATTAAATGTTAATGAAAATCGACGATCATCTGATGGATTAGCAAATAATAATTATGATATATCACCTGAAGGTCGAGCTTCATATGAATCTGGTTTAAATATTGATATATGTAGAGAAATTTTAAATGAATTTGAAAAAATTAAACATGAACGTATTTCAATGCAAAATGAGAAAAGTCAAAAAAATCCAAAGAAATTATTACAAAGGCAACGTAGTCGGTCAGTTACAAATCATTAATATTTGTTTTTTATTTTTTTGTTTTGTACTATATATATTTCATTATATTAATGATTCAATTAATAAATTGAATTTAATATGTTAACTAGACTTGAAACGTTTTGAAATAAACTAAATACGAATAATCCAAATTTAATCCTTGGATGCAGCTCGCCTATTTTTACGAACAATGATTCAAAGTACTGGAAGTATTTATTTGGTAATTGAGAATTTCTTGAAATATATGATATAAGATAATCAATGTATACTAAATTTGAGTCAGACACTGCTGAAGATCAAATATCGTCTATCAATTATAACACGTAATGCTCTACTTTTTTTAGTTTTAATAATATTTACGTATGAGAAAACACAAAGGTTTACACCACATTTAGTTTGTAATCTAAATACAAGGTCGACATTAGCTAAACATCATTACAACTTATTTTTTGCGTTTGAACTATACCTAGTCAACACAATATTAGATGCAAACTTTTGATGTGAATATGTTTGAATTAAAAGAATATATTCATAATGTCATTCTTTATATACCATCTGCTAGTGCTTAATAGAAGTATTAGAGGATTTACTATTGCCAAATATTTAAACAAAAGCAAAATGCTTTCATCCAATATACGATAAAGTCATGTATTTTGTCATACAGTGTTTTTTCAAATTATATTGGCATATAACGATTGAAATTATTTTAAAATAAATTCTCATTCTCTCTATTTTTGTTTATTAATAAATGAAATATGTCATAATCTTTAAGCACGCTTTCATTTAATAAATTATGTTCTATCAATATCACATTTCTTTCTTATTAAAACATTCATAATATCATGACATCTTCGAAATTGAGCACATGATTTCAAAAGGAATCTCGATAAAATATTGGCTATAATTTTTTCAAATAAAAGTGTAATTCATTCAATAAATCAAAAAATGACACATCGAATAAAATATTTTATTAATACAAATATTTGTGAATTACAAAGACAATAGATAAATGTCTCATTATTCTTATTTTATGAAATTAACCATCAAGATTGTCACAACAACATATAACGCACCAAGCATGAATAACTCCCGGAACCTGTAGCATAAAAAGAAATAAGTACATTTTTTTTGCTTTTATAAATAAAAGTACTTACCCAACCCAGTAGTGTAAGAAGAATATTAATACATACAGTACAACTGCAAATTTTATTTCGAGCTATCCATACAGCTATAGGTGGCATAAAAATACTTAAAAATAGTAATAAAAGTTTTGCACAAGCGTCCCCCATAGTTCTTGTAATACAGAGTAAAAATAAATAATAACTAACTGTTTATTACTGACTAGCTTTTTTCTTCTATATGAGCTTTTTGCATTTATTTTCTCCTTTCTTCAACTAGTAGAAAGTCATAACGGAAGAAAAAAAGAAGAAGAAGATTGAGTATGATTCAGCTTTTCTCCAGTGGGTTCCATGTTGTTTGAATGACGAAGCAAAGAGACAAAGAACGTCTTCATGGGTGAATATAATCATAAGGCGCCGAACGAGAAAAAGGAAAAAAAACTATGTTCACGTCCAAAACATTGTCTGTGTTATTCATTCTTACATGCATATATAATTAATGTGATGCAAAGCATAGGATTTATATTATCATTCACGAGTTTTCTCGACATATGTATTAACTTAGTTGTTTTATATTGCGATAATCTCGAGAAGACAAAAAATTGAACTCACGCCGTTTGTTTTTCGGATTTTATAAAACCGAAATTTCATTTGTCTCATACTTTGATATGATAAAAACAAAAGAAGTTAAGCACGACCAGAAGTAATGCTCAGGTACTTCTTCTAAGAGAAAAATATCAGGTGGAACCCAAAATTAAAAAAAGCTATTTTTAACTTTAAAAATTTTCTCTATTGAAGGGCATTCCCATAGAAATTTTTTAGCTACGACAATCAATTTCTATAATTGTTTCACAACTGTAAAAAACAATTGAAGATAAATAATGAGTCACGGAAATATTTGAAGGGCCAATTAATGTTATTCTTTAAAAAAATACATTGTCAAGAATTGTTGAAGATCTCAGAGTAGTCATTTTACATCGCGATAGTCTCGATATTACATCTATCTTACGAATGTGAAAGCATTTCGTTGAACTTTAATTGTCATTTAATTTTATGTTTTCAAAGCGTGCATCACTGATATACAAATAAATAGTACAATAAACAAGAAAAGAAAAATAAATGCGTACTTGATTTCAAAAGCAAAAAACATGAGAAAGAAAATTAAATAAGTAAAGGAAAAAACAATGCGTACAATCGAAACATAATAAAAAACAGAAAATATATTATTCGCAAGCTAATTTACCATCAAAAGAAGATAGTGCAATACCAAATGCTTGAACAGCACATAATGGATATTTAAAATCGCAAGTGAATACATCTAAATTCAAAAGAAACATTAACTGATTATATAATTCAAATTTTCCGCACATCAAAGAATATATTAACTCTAAGTTACTCACATGAATATAAAAAATCTATAGTTTCTATTTTTAACTCTGTTAATCAAATCTCATATATCTATGTAATCAGTTGTTTACTATCATCGAAGACTTATAGGGAAAGACATCGGAGTTTCTAATAATTTCATTCAATGACGATACTTTCTATTGACATTCAAAATAAAACTTACCATCATCAACTCGTCCGAATTGCATACATACATATTCTTCTACAAATAAAAAATAAATTTTATATTTATATTTGATTATTAAATATTCTCTAGACATATTGACGGAATGAAATGAATTTCCTAACAAACAAAAAACAATGAATTTAGATTTTCCTACTTACGATCATTATCATGAACAACTTGAAAATTTTTAACTGATGGATGAGTTACACGTCCATGAAAATTCAGTACATATGATTGCGTTTCTTAAAAGAATATTTTCGATTTATTTTATAAGAATTAATTTCCTACTATTTACCTTCATTCCAAACAGGTACTTTATTACGTAATTCAAGTAAATTAGTCATATCATTTCGTTTCCACCGTTCAACTAAACCTTCTGAATCCTTTAATAATGAAATCAAAGATTAAATAAAATAATTCGAATACAAATCTTTTACATTTTTTGGTCGAACTTCAACTCGGTGATGATCACTACTCATACCCGGAATAATAATTGTCATTTTACGTGGACCTTTAAAACCCAATATATTTGTTTCCTATATAAATCAATTAAAAAATTTTGATATAAAAATTCAATAATATATACATAAGCTATTGCAGCTAATTCTCGTCTTTGTTGTTCTATTGGACTATGAAAAAATAAATAAGATTTTATACTTTAATTTTTGTTTTTCTTTATTTTAATTTACATATTCTTTTTTGGATTTGAACCTTGATCATAGACAGTAAAATGTGTACCTAACATATTTGATCTAAATAGATTTATGTTTTGCTTTTTTATTCTTAAGAAGATAGATTTTTACCTTAATTTTCCAATAAATCTCTCACCATCACGTGATAAATCAGTTGCATCTGTTGAAATTAAATAATTTGATGTTGCACTACGTCGACGTTTACGTCCAGCAAGTAAAAAAAACTAAATAAAGTATAATATTTATATAAAAAAACGTTTTTATTCTCAATTCAAATTCAAATACCTTTTTACCATCACCAGGTCTTTCAATATGCATATAATATGTTGGGAAAAGACCTTTTTCCATACCTCGTTTATCGCGTGTTATACGACATTGAAGATCACTAAGACCATTTGGTGCAGGTGAATAAACAAAGTTATCTAAATCTTCTGTAATCATGTCAAATAATGTACGTAATGCAAGTGTTAATTGTGGAGAATTTTCATTATCATTATTATCGTTTGTGACACTTTGATTCGTTGATGACATTCCATTAACATTTTGTAATGTTGGTGTCCATGGTCTTATAACAGTTGTGTCAGTTTCACCATCAGAATCTGAAGTATGACGAAGAAAAGTTTTAGAAATTGCTTCACTTTCAATATCTGACACATCATCATCACTATATGACACAGACGAAGAAGAATTTCGTTTGCTATGAGAAAGACGACGACGACGACGAGCTTGTTTAGCAGGACGTTGATAATCATCATACTGATTATCCTCTTTAAATAAACATATATGCATACAAACAAAAGCAAGAAGATTAAGAAAATGTTCTCTAGCATAATGTTTTAACACGTACATAGAACAACATAGAAAGCATGCAAGAATACGTACCATTTCTTGCAAAACCATCATCAGTACTGTGTGTAATAGTCGCATCAGATAAAACTTGTATTGAACCTTTTGACGCTTGTACTGTTCGAGATTGTATCGATTTACTAGTTGATGGTCGTACATCGACCGAAATATTTTTCTAATTAATATATAGATATGTTTTATTTTTCTTTAATAAGAAAATAAATTCGATATTACTGGTTCATTATTTTTCCGATGAATCGGATGAAATGGTTGATTTGATAATGTCATTGAACCTGATTCATCGACATCTGGATGAAATGAAGTGTTAATAAATCCTAAGAGAGTTGACAAATAGCATTTCATTAGAGATAAAAAAGAAAATAGAAGAATTCCGTCGTTACAGAAATAAATAATGACTTAATCTACACACTGACAGGTGTTAAAAGAAGATGAAAGAGAATACTAAATAGTGTTAAATACAAAAAACAAGAAACCTTCTCAAATATATTTCATTTACCTCCGATTACATCTGAATTCGAATAATCCGTAGGAAGAGGTGTACGTGTAGTACGTGTACCTCCAGCAAGTTTTGTTAATTCAGTCTGAAAAATAAATACTTTTTTTTTCTTAAAAGAAACAAAAAATATTTTAATTACTTTTTGATTTATTCTTTTTTGATCAAATTTTTTCGTTGATGATGAATTATGATCATCATCTTCTAAAATTCTATAAAAATAATTTTGTATATAATTAAATTTTTTATCTTAAAAATATATATATATTAACTTACACTCCTGGTATATGTTCACCTTTAATCATTATTGTATTGTATGAGAATCTTGATTTTTATATATACATAGGATCTGAAAATGAGAAATAGCAGTGAAAATGATCTATTTATTCTAGATACTAAATGAGAAATAAATATATAGTAGTCATGGAAAAAAATGGAAGAATTTTATATTGTTTGACCATTCATCTGTCGCTTTCTCGTTTTTTTCTTCTACATGCTCTATTCGACTGATATACCAAAGAGAAAAAAAAATATGAGAGAAAAAGGAAGTAAAATAGTGACTAAAAATACAAAAGAATGAATTTAAATTACAACATCTTAGATAACAAAGTTTAGATGTTATTCTATGCGAAGGAAAGAAAACTTAACTGTATATTTTTACATATTTAAAATAAAAGGCAAAACATTCCAAAAGAAGAGAGAGAAAGAGAGAAAAATAAAAGTGCATAATTTAATGTTTTTCATTTTATAACGATAAATTTTTTCATCATTTCCTTTCTTTTCAAATCTCCCATTGTCAAACAATCTATAATAATAAAAATGTTTTCTCTAGCATTTCTTTTTCTTCCTCTTTTCTCGTTCTTTATTTTCCAGGACATCTGGAGTAAAAAAAAGAGAGGAAAAAGAAAGGCATTGAACAAGTTCAATCTAGAAGAAACTTCCGAAACCGTTCTCTCTCTCTCACACATCGATGAATCATTATATTATCAACCATAAATCTCATTATTTCTAAGCAACTAATCCTCAATCGATTTATTTTATATTATTTATAATTAGAAAAAAAAATTCTTATTATTTACTTTTTCATTAAATCAATAAACTATTTATTTACATTCACATATATTTTTATATCAATTAGATGTCACTACTATCGTTGTTTATATAAAACAAGAAATGTCAAAGGAAGTATAGACAAGACATATATCCTTGAAAAAAAAACAATCGAAATGTCATTGACTGAACTTTTACCATCAATTTATCATCATGAAGATACTAATGATGATATTGAAGTTGGTTCATCAGCTGTTCAAATTCATCGTTATGGACGGGAGAAAAACACAGAATGGCCAGCAGAAACACCTAATGCATCATCATCAAAAACAACAACAACAATGGGAACAGATGATACTGGTGTTGTTATTAAAGATGTTGTACCACGTTCAATGTATTATCATGATCGAGATGATCATAATGATGATGATTGTTTATGTACATGTGCATGTTGCCGATGTGAATGTTGTCCAACAGTATCCGATTGGTGTATAAGAGATCCATATGGTTTATCATGTGGTTTTACAACATGGTTTTTATTTATCTATGCTCAGTTTGTTGTTATATTTGTTATATTAATACCTAAAAGTCATTCAACTTTATTCAATGTTATTAATTTATTGATATTCCATATGTTAGAAATTCTTGCTGTTTCATCACATTGTATAACGATGTTTTCCAATCCGGTATGTATATATGTAAAAACTAATGATTGAGAAAAAGTTTATATAGATTAAATATTTATATTAAAACGATAATGATCAATCTATACTTTATTTAAAATACTTTGAAAATCAAGGTTATATATAATTGAGAATAACATGATTGTTTGTTTTAGGGTGCTGTTCCATTAAATAATGCAACTCCAGAAAATCTTATTAAATATTCCAATGGTACTGTTGTTTATCGATGTGCTATGTGTCAAAGTGTAAAACCACCCAGATCCCATCACTGTAGGTACTAAAATACGATCATTTTTTTTCTTTAAAATATAATACATATTTATTTCTATAGTGTTTGTAAACGATGCATAAAACGAATGGATCATCATTGTGTATTTGTTAATAATTGCGTTGGACAAAATAATCAAAAATATTTTATTTTATTTACGGTAAGAAAAACATTTCTTGTAGTTTAATTAGTCTTTTTCCTTTTACTTTATTTATAGAATTTTTCATTAGAATATCGTTTATCTCTCTTTTTTTTAATAGAATTTTCTATGACATCGTTAATAATCTTTTTTTGATATATTTGCCTTGATTTAGATAAGAATTATTAGATTAGGTTTTGTTATTAAAAAAAACAATCTACTCGATTATTTCTATTTAAAATTCAGAAAAATATTGTGTCTCAAATATGAAGATTGCAATAGATAAGCAGTTCATGTATTATTTAGAATAGTACTCGAATATTATGACTATCATAAATAGATTGTATGTATTAAAAGAAAAATTTGCCTTTTTATCAGTAAAAACTTGACGAATGTTGTTATATATCATAAAAGCGAGGAATCAGTCAGGGACTGAAATTAATCAAATTAAGTATAAGAATGATCACTGTTTCCATTATCTGATTTGAAATGATTATGAGTCAGAATAATTCCAGCTATAAACATTAAACTGAGTAGGCGTTGTGGAATCTAGATTGAAATAGTAATCGTAATTTATGAAGATTTACTGGGGAATATGCATAATGTGATAGTCAAAGGTACAAAGAAGTGGTATAAAAAGGTTCCCATGTTTTCGATTCGATAAACTTCTAAGAGTTCATATGAATCAATAGAACTTTCCTGACTGATCATGACCGACGTTTTGAATCATTGTTTTTTCCCCGGAAATGAAATATTTTTTACGGATATCAAAAACTAATTCTGTGGAAAAAAATGTAACCAATTATTTTATTTAATTGAAAATTATCAGGGTAGATATATTCATCATAAAAATACGAGATACTAGATGAATCTACACTCAAGCGATAATGTTTTAGTTACTTTATAATTCATTCAGGTCCTCTCAAGTTTATACTGTCCACGAAAAAACTTTATCCTATCATTTTCTTTCAAAGTATAATCTTCATTTTAGTTTTATACATGTATTATCTCAATCTATGCGCTAATTCTTCTCGGTTTTCATATAACAACTTGTGTTCAAACCGATTGGACTGGTTTGTAATTCCTTAAAAATATTTATCCTAAATGATTTTTTTCTATCTCTCAATTAGCATGTACAGCATGGTCACCGCCTGCAACTATTATCTTCTTAATATTTCTTGCATTCGAAGCTATTTCATTCTCACTTTTTACTGCCATAATGACCGGTACACAATTATATTCAATATATACTGATACTACTGTATGTGTTTTTAAGAAAAAAAGAGCATAAATTTTCTATTCATATCTTTTTGTTTAGGGTATTGAATCATTCAAAGGAGAATCAAGCTATCGACGTCGTCATAGTTCATTTATTTCATCAATGAAAGTTGTATTTGGTTCTCAAGTTGGTTTAACATGGTTAAATCCATTCTCTAAACCAGTTAGTTTAATCACACAAAATGATGAACGTGTAACATTTGATGTTTAATTGCAAGATTAACTGATAATCTTTTCTTTTCTTTTTTTTTCTTTTTCATGATAATAAAAACAATTAAAACGACTAACACCATTGAAATGAAACAACAACAAAACAGAAGAAAAAAAAACGTTTTTTTTTTAGTGTTTTTTTTTGAAAGCAAAAACTCACGAATACAATAGTTGGGTATATATATATATATGTATATGTAAAATAGTCTTTATTTGTCATTTCCAATATTATTTTCAATTTTTTTTAATGCATCAAATATGATACACATGTCACCTTTAAGATCAGATATTATTTGTGCAACATGTTGAGTATTGGAAACGATTTCAATACTTTGATTATATGGATTATACCGAACAGCAAATGGTCGTTTAATTGATAAAGCAAATTCTCTTAAATAAAAAGAAATTATTTTGAAATAAAATTCAAAATTGATTTTTTTTGTACCTCATTTTTTCTTTTGCTTCAACAAAACTAGCCGAAACAAAATATTGATCTTGATAAGTTGTTATTAAACATGTTGTTTTACAGACAATTTCAGGATCAAATGGTAATTTTTGTGCTTTATCACTTAATGCATGTTGTAATTCAGAACATGATGAAAGTAAACCAGCTCCATATGCACGAAGACCATCATTTTGTCGACAAAGACCAAATTCAATTGTAAAAAAATAACACTAAATAAAAACAAACAAACAATGCCTGGATATTTATCATGAATGACAATTATAATATCGAGATATTTTAATGTTAATCAAGAAACTAGTCACCACCTGTGTCATCTGAAATTAACCCTCGACCTTTGCAGTCCTCGGTTCTTTATACTATCAGAGACCTTGATCTTCCAGCATCATATACTATTACAGCTGCTGCTGTATGGGTAATAATACTCAATCTATTAAATTTTTTTTATAGTACAGATACGTCTCCGTAAATCTATAATCGCTCTAATAGCGGAGCGGGGAAACATTTTAGTACTTAGAGTAAAGAGTATTTTCCTTTTGTACTATTAGTGATTGATCGTCATTGTTGTATTCCTAGACTAAAGTCCGATTTATACTAGAATATGAATCTAACAGCTGCTTCATCAGTACGCAATTCCTTTTGTCTATTGCAGACATGTAGGAAGATAAAATATTAGTCACCAAGTCAATGATAGTATAGTGATAGACTGTTCCACATCTATGAGTAATGTGACTAGCATATTGATATGAAAATATATTTGTCTTACCAACATTCATGTCCTACTAATTTACTACAATAATATCGTTATCTTACTGTTGCCAATCGATTAATATCTTCTTCCGAAGCGCCAATAGCTGCTAAACCAATTTCATGTGAAAATTGAGCAAAATTAGGATCGGCTAAGAGTGGAACATGACCCAATAATTCATGACAACAATCTCTATATTTATCAAATAAATTCGTTATTTTCTTTTTTTTTGTTAAATTATATTTTAAACATACGGTTCAGGTGTATATGCTGGATTTGATGAATGTCGAATATATTGTGTGCAATGAAAAACACGAAATGCTAAACCATATAAAAAATCTCTTGGTGATAAATAGCCTGCAACCGGTCGTAATGTAAAACCAGTACGTTCACGTAGAAAACGTGATATATCTTCTAATTGTGGAATATTATCTTCTCTGAATAATGACAAAAAGAAAACTAAATCAAATTTAACAAAAATTATCAAATTACCGAAAACCACATTTTTCTCTTAATAATGGCCAATTAGCCAAATATTCATTACATGCATGTGTTGGATATATTTTATTCAAATTTCGAAAAACCGCACCCCTATTAAAATATAATAAGTAAAAAGAGTGTGTACAACTTATTTTATAGAATTTCACCATGTTTCTGTCTCTTCTTTGGTATATTCTACACGTGGAATTGGATCTCCACTGAAAGAAATAAAACTTTAATTGTATCTCAAAAAAGAAATATAGATACATACTGTTTATATGCTATAGCTAGATCATGAAAATACATACGACGAGCTCGATAGACCTTATCCGTAAAACCCTACAAGAAAATTAAACTTCTTGGTTTTATATAGCGATTTGTAAATACATACTGGATGATCAGCATCAAGATCTGCTCCGTATAAAAGTACTTTAATTGAACATCGATCTAAATCTTCAATTCGACGTGGAAACCAAGGTGTTTCTTCGGCTTCAACTAAAATAGATAGATCACATTATAATTCATCTGATTTAAGAAAAAGGACAATTAAAGATTTATCTAGAGAAAAAAAAATCTATAGAATAACCTTTTATTTGTTTTATCGTATTTTTTCTTGGTTTCTTATTCATTTTAGTCGGTTCGGGAAGCTGTATATTCTTATGAGGAATATCAATATTACAACTATTTGCTCGTACAAATAATGGAGTAAAACCATATGGATCTGTACTTTCATGCGTAGATGAAAAAAGTGAATTATGCTTTGTTTTAAGAACTGCAGCTGGATACATCCATAAAACATCATCACGTTTAACAATCACCGGTCCTGTTTTACTTATTGGTGGTTGATAAGAAAATCTTCGAAATAACGAAAATGAAGTTGCTTCTTGTTCTTCATCACTACTCATATTATCATCCATCGAAATCATTGATGAATCCATATTTGATGTCGTCGATGTTATTGGCATTATGAAATTCGTTACAGGATTTCGAATAAAACCTGGTATGGATGTTATTCGTTCTGCATCAATATCTATTGATGACCAGGATGATGTTGGTGAATCAACTATTATTGCTGGTGGATAAATATTTGAATTATGAGTACATGATGTACGTAAACAACATTGATCATTTAATACTGATACAGATGAATGCATTGTTGATGGTATATGATAAATATTATTAACATGATTATGTAATAATGTTAAATGTTCTTTCAATGTAAACATTTGTTTAACAAGATTAGAAATAGGTAATGATGGTTTTGTATCAAATTTTTCAAGATTTTGTACATTACGTATCATATGAAGCCAATCATTTGTAACAAATATTGGTAAATATGAAAATAAATTATTTGTATAGATTGTTTCCATGATTAATAATAATGCTGTTGAATCAATTAAATTGATTGAACATTGTTTTAAAATACTATATGCATTCGAATCTTTATTTGAATCTATTATTGATAAACTATAATTTAAACAATTTTGTAAACTTATATATGCTTCACTCATTTGGTCCAATGAAAAATAACGTTTAAGATTTTCTTCCAATTCATTTAATGATCCTTGACCAATTATATTCGATAAATAACATAATACCGCATCATAACAAAGTGTAGTTAATGATAAATCTTTATTTAATGATATATATACATGTTGATCGAAAGCATTTTTCACATCAGATGACGATAGATTTAAAATAGAACTATCGGATGTCATTCTTTTAGTTTCATATGTTTACAAAAAAATAATATACTGTATACAGATATTTCTTAAATATTATTATTATATATATATATATAGAGAGAGAGAGTGAAAGAAAAACTGGTGCCGTAACGACGCCATTGATTGAATATTGATATTGACTATACGCATTTAAATGATTAGCAATTGCAAAAATAGAAAAGGAAAATGATAATAATAATAGCATGCTATTGATCATCTGTCTTGCATACATTGTCAGCGTGATTATTTCTTATTGAATATGCAAGAAAAAACAATGACACAGCTGTTGTTTTTTCGACATATAGGACGAAATTATATTTGCACTGTTTAGAAGTTTATTTATTGGATTATGAAATAATCAAATTAATCAAAAGTTTGTTTATATATAAATATTCTGATCTTTAATCGATTATCGGGTATGTTACCAATAAATAGTATCAGATGGACTCTGCTCTTTTTTGTAATTCGATGTCTATTATGTTTGTTTTTTGTACTCAGACTTAAGCGATTTGATACATCTGACGCCTCTTATACTATAGTTTTTTTTTTGTTTATTTTTAACTGGGAAACTTACTTTTTCGTTTTATTGGTTGCCCATTTTTATCAAGAAAAGGTGATGGAGGTGGTATATCCATATCGCCATCACCATTTGAAATACTATTCGTATCGGTGAAAATATCATCATTTGTTTGTCCAGTATTTTCATTTAAATCAATAAGATTATTTAAATCAAATCGTACAACAGATACTTGACGTTTTAATTGTTGCATAGATTCATTAAGATGAGTACGATCCGCTTCTAAATCAACATATATTTCATATTCCGAATCTTTACGACGTGAACGACGAGATTCAATATGTACGACATTGATGCCATTTTCCTTTGAAAAGGAAAAAAAAATCAATTATCTTATGTGAAAATAAAAGAAAAAATTCTAAATAATACTTGAAAAACTTTTAAAGCTCTTGCTAAACCTCCAATACGATTTTTAATTGAAAATATAAATGATGTTGTATTTCCTTGTCGTACAAGTGATTGTAATTTTTCTGGTGATATTTCATGATTAATAACAGTTAATGCTTCTTGATCATCCATATCTTCATGTAAGGTTGATAATCGATGCTAAATAAATTTCGTACATTTTGTTTTTTGTTTTAATTCCTTATTTTTACTTACTTCAAGACATCGAAAATAAGATGATTTATACGACATTCTATAAAACTCTTCTTGTAATAATAATAATAATAATAATAACAAAATGAGTTATTCGAACTTCTTATATAGCAGTGAATGAACGAAATGTATATATATAGATTCTTCTCGGGTTTCTTTTTTTATCAAAATGAATGCGTAGGATGCATATGTGTTTTTCTCATTTGTAAATCAATTCAATGACAGTAATGAGCTTTTTAAGATCTGATATAATGTCTTCATTTTGACATGAATATCAAGAAGCCATTCAATAAGATCAGTACTATTTTCATATATGTCTATAATTAAAGATCGACAACATTGATGTAATTATCTTTTCTATTGCGTCTTTTTGTTTGTAAATTATTCACAATATGAATAAATTCTTGAACATAAAATTGACATACGACAGAATTGAATTAATTCATTACATAATTGTAAGTAATTCTTACTATATATTTTAGTCGGATGAATTTTATGAAAGGAAAATTCGAGTAAATCACAAAACTATACTTTAAAAATATTATTTTATTTCATGGACAATCTTTATTGTTAACTTTAATAACTGACACATGTCAATCAAATCGCTTTTATGTTCTAAGGAAAGGGTAGTGAGTACATTGTGTTAATCCATTGTCTATAGTAAATTTTATGAGTATGTCATTTGCATATGCTTTAAAAAATCTATATTATCATACAATGAAAAATTCGAAATTTTTCTCGTATGTTTGAAAACAGAATTGATATTTTGCTTCTGTTTCAAGGACATGCACACGTGCAATAAAAACCAATCACGCGAGGAAAAAAGAGCAAAACAAGAGTGGATATACATGTTTCTCTTTTTTCAAATATTAAGCCCCATATTCTTAATAACCAATCGAGTGTCTTGCCTTCTGCAGCGTCTACTCGTTTCAATGTAATTTATTTCTTAGCGTAAAAAAGAAACAACAAATTCTTATATTTTTATTTCGATAAAGTTCTGTTAAGTTGTATTTGCATCAATATTGTCCTATCCTGATTTTTCGTCAGCATCATCGCCATCACCAGTGTCTTTCTTATCTTTACGAAAAACGTTAGCATCAACTTCTTCTACTTGTAAATAACGTTCACCATCAACATTAGTCCAATATTTATTTTGCGGTAAATTTCGTTCTTCATTGGACATCTCATTTTCAATTGCAAATACAATACGTGCACGTTCTAAATGCCTATATATTTCAAAAAAATAAAGCAAACATTTTATAATAAAAAAAATAAGTAAAATCATTTTTTTCTACTAACCATACTTGTGTTGCACCTTCAATAATATTTCCATATGTATCACCCATCATAGCAACAAGTAAATTAAGTAAAAGAATTGTGACAACAATAATATAAACAATCAGCAGTGTAACACTTATATAACTATATGTTGTTTCTGTATAAGCATCAAGATCAAAGTCTCCTAGCATGCCTAGAAAACATTGCTTAACACTTACAAGGAAACCACCAAAACCTAAAATGAAATAAATATACAATTTTATGTCTATATTATCTTTTTTTTTGTTACCATTTTGTTCAAATAAAATAAAAAATGTTTGTGAGAATCCTCCAAGAAATACCACATAAATAACACAAAATCGGAGAACATCATTTAAAAGCATTTCATATATCATCACAACAAATGGACCAGTTAAACGAAATGCCATAACAAAAAATAACATATAACCCCAACCAAGAATTGATGCTAGTGCTAGTCCTGCTATTTCAGCTCGCATACCTAATATTCGAAGAATATTAGTTATATAAATAGTCAAACAAAACGCGCATGATAAACTGTTTTCAAGAAGACCTGAACCCTATTGAATAATGAAAGATTTTATTTTAAGAAAACTAGAAAAAATAATTTATTTTACCGTTGTATTAAAATATTTCCGTATACCGACATTGTTCATTTCTTTAAATTCACTGTTTCCTTTCCATATAGCACCTGCTAGAACAATCATTCTACCAACAGTACATATTCCTTGTACAATCATCCCTGAAGGTTCAATATCTACTATAACTGCATCTTCACCTTCACCTTCAAACTAAATCAAAATAGGAAAATACAAAAAAATTATTTACATAATCAACGATCGAATAACGTTCTATCAATTATAATCAGTCTTTTTTTTGGCTACGGTATAGGCATCTATAATTTTGTTACTCATTCTAATTTCGATATTTTCATAATTTATATCGTTTAAATATCGATTATTAAATAATTATATAAGTAAAAAGAAAGAAATATATTACCGTCTCTGTTCGAACTTGATCAAGAATAGTTGTAATAAGAAAAACCATTAAATAAGAAAATGTAGCCAAAAAACGATTAAAAAAAATTTTTCTTGCAAAACGTTCCCATTTTTTATTAACTAAATCAATCATACGCGGATGCATAATAAGTTCAACATGTGCAGTTTGTACAATGATTTCTAATGCTCCAACTTGTGCTTCAAGATTCTAAATTAAACAAAATAGTATTAATGTATAAAAAAAAATCAAATCTCATTTTACATCTTCTCGAAATTCTAAATCAACTTGATCTAGTGGATAAAGTACACATGCAACCGGTCCAAAACTCCATTGTGTTATTTTACGTTCTTCAAGTAAAAATGAGAACATTTCCGCTTGACCGATCTTAGCCGCTAATGTTAAAGGTGTAAAACCATCTTTATTTAAACGTTTCCATATTGGAATGACTCGTTTTTTTTCTATTTGATACAATTCATCTTCTTCGTCGCTAGAATCGTTATCTTCTTCTTGTTCTTGTAACCAACGTTCTTTAAATTTTGTATATATTTCAGGTAAATTTTGAATAACAAGTAAATGTAATACAGTATTACTATTTGAATCAACCTATTTAATTTTTCTATATGTTCAAAAAAATATATATAAAAATTTTATAACATACCGCGTCCATTGAAGCACCATATTTTAGTAAAATTTCGACTATATCCCATTGATTCGTACAACATGCAAATGCTAATGGTGTTTCACCATAATAACACGGTCTGCCGCTAAAAGAAGACTTCAATCTATATATCTCTTCTTTTTTTTATTTAAATAAAACTTACACTGAGAAAAATTTTCCTTTAGCGGCTGACGTTAGTTGTTGTACTTGATAAGGTTCATTCAATGGATCACCTAATAACCATTCAACCATGGTCGGATTTTGTTTAATAATTGCAATATGAAGTGCTACTTCCCCATAATATTCCTAGAAAAACAAATATGAGTCATTTTATATTTTTTTACAATTAAAAGAAAGAAAATTTCTTTTTAACTTACAGGTAGATTGTATATTTGTGTTATTGTATAAGGAAAGTTTCTTATTAAATATTGAGCCATCTTAAGATGAGTTTCAGTTCCATATAAAAATAACATATGAATTGGACATTCACCAACAGGTCCACGTGCATCAACATTTTTCGGATCTAGAGTTACAAGACGTTGAAATCCTTCTTCATCAGCTTTACGTACAGCTTCCCAAATCGTTCCACCTTTACGTGAAGCTTCTGTTTGTCGTTCAACTGCTGATAAAACTGATAATTTTTCATCTTCTCCTGCATTACTTGCTCGTTTTTTCTTAAGAGCACCAGGAAAGCTTATACGCGACCAGATATTTGTAACCGCTGATGTAGCTTTTTTCTCTTCGGCAGACATGGGTATATTATTGTTCGTTTTTCTTCAGTATATTTTGATTCGAAATATGTCTGTACACGTATTATTATTATTATTATTATTGTATGTTACGATTTGTATGTATGAATATCAAAAGGTCGATTTTGTCTCTCTTTTCTGTCCATTCGTTGATTTATTAATGTGAATAAACCATGCTGTACATACCTGTTTGATAGTATCATCACATTGATCAATCGAGCGGAAACATGAAAAAAGAAACCTCGATTCGAAGGAGAAACAGCGTTATAATAACAAATATAAACACGTTAGAAGAGAAAAAAAATAAAATACCCCGTTTTTAAATCTCAAGTCTGAGTCATAAACATTAGTTTAACTAATATATGATATAATCAAGGTGTATATTTACTTAATAGTGTATTAAATATTAATGTATTATTTCAAGGTTGTTTATGTGTATATCCTGTCGTAATTTGTTTAATATGAATAAATTTGTTTTGTCCGTTTTCTTTCTTTACCTGAGAATATGATATTCTCTTCAATATAGTATTAAAGTGGTTTGTTGTAAACAAACTTAATCATCGAGTCAAGGACGAGTTATAGGTTGTATAAATAAGAGACAGTATAATTGCTCCTTACAATCACACCATTTCAGTTATTATTCAAACCTAACGTATTACTAATAAATCAAAATTTAAAAGATGTATAGTACTCCCTATGCGCATCAACAAGTTTATTCAACATATAATAATCAACAAGGATCACAACCGATGTTTAATAATTTAAATATTCACAATACATCATCATCACCATCACCATCATCGAAACTGATAGTACAACATTGTAATACGATAAGACAGAAAGCAAAAGTTATTACTAAAGATGAATTAGAACGTATACTTGATGAATCTTATCGTGAATTGAAAACTTTAACTGTCCCATCACAAATAAATCCAAATCTTAAAAGAATTATTATTGCACTACTTTCTATTAAATCATCTACATTACCATCACTTTCTTTACATAAATTTTTTACTTTATTACAAGCACCACTTACTCAAATTATTCGGCAATGGCAACGTACTTCTTTAAATCAAAATGATGTCTTTATGTTTACATCCATCATTAAATTATTAAGAAATCTACTTAAAAATATCTTTGATACAAATCGGTATCCAACATGGTTATTCGATACACCATTACTTACTACTATTGCTAATTTGCTCGTGAAAATGGCTAAATCGAAAAATTTTTTTAATAAAAAAAATCACCGTGAATCAAAAGCGTTCCTTCATTTATTCAGTATTTATATAGATTATCAAACTGATTTAAACGAAGAGAAAACTTTTAATAAAGATATATTGGATAAATTAATTGATCCTGTTACTCAATGCCTTCGATCAAATCATTATATTGATATATTCAGTCAATTACAAACTAAGAAAGAAGTACTGAAGATGCAAAAAAGATTTTTTCTTAGTAAATGCCCATCATTTCTCGTATCTTATAATGGTATGATTATTTTTATTATATTTACATATGAAATTATAATTATTTTTTTTTCTAGGATCTCGTCTTGAACAAATAACGGAAAGTTTACTTTCAACAATGTTACCACAATATCTTACTTTATTCAATGAATTAATTCCATTGATTCATCAATGGAAACGTTCAACTATACGAGCTATAAATCATTTAATTAAAATAGTTAAACATGGATCAATAAATACAGCAATACTTGCAGATCATTTACCTTTTATTGATCATATCTTAACTTTAGTTGATACACCAATATTATATAATAAACTTACTGTTACATCATCAAAACTAGAGACAGATTTAATGCATACAATAATTAATTTTCTTGCTAATATGATTAATGAACCAACAATCTTAGCATATATTAAACAAAAGAAAATGACAGCTTCATTTCTTCGTTTAACATCAGCACAATATCAACCGTTAGTATATGATGCATATACTATTCTTGCTCATACAACAACTGAAGCAGATATAAAAGAGATGCATAATCCCGATGCTTTACTTTCAACAGTTACTGAATCATTAAAAAATCTTGTAGCTAATCAAAATTCGGATAATTTACAACAAACTGGACAATTATTAGAAATACTTAAAGGTCTTACTCAACATGATCAAATCAAAGAAGAAATTCTTAAACAAGATACATTTTCATTTCTTCTTGAATGTACAAAGAAGTTTACTGGAAATGTATTAACATTATTATTAGAAACTTTATGGTCATTATCATTTTCTCAAAAAGGAGCACTTGAACTTCGAGAACATCCGGAATTTCTTGAAGAAATTCAAACAATTTCAAAAAATACGAAAGATGAAGCATTGAAAAAAGCATCTGATGGACTTGTTTGGAAGCTTGTACAAGGTATGTGGGCAAAAGAATAAAATATTCTAATATTTATTTTTGACAAATACATTTTTAGAACCAGCATTTTTGGAAAAAGTTGCAAAAAATCAAGAAGCAGAGAATCAGGAAGCTGAAGATACACTAGTTGAAACTAAAGAAGTTATTATTGGAGCAGATGGTAAAGAACAGACAGTAACTAAAATGGTACGAAAGAGTATTACACCACCTGAACAAATCTTTCAGTATGATATTATGATTTCATATTGTCATGCGGATAGCGAATTAATTCATAAAATTCATCAATTTCTTCTCGATCAGGGTTTTAAAATATGGATTGATCTTAATAATATGTTTGGTCCAGGTAATAAAAAACAGTTTGTATGAGAAAAAATACTATCTTTTTGTTTTTCATTTTAAACTAAAGCAATGAGTGCTATGGCTGAAGCTGTTGAAAACTGTGAATTTGTCATTATGTGTATGTCGGATTCGTATAAGCAAAGTACATATTGTCAAGCTGAAGCTGAATATGCATTTGGATGTAAACGACGATTGTTACCATTAATTGTAAGACCAGGATATAAACCAGATGGTTGGTTAGGTTTTATGATTGGTTCACGTATTTATGTTGATTTCGGTCGTTATGATTTTGATACAGCATGTGGAAAATTGATGAATGAAATTGGTTTACAACGTAAACGACCACTTCCATCTAAAGTAGGTGTAGTTTCACAACATGAAAAACCAGATGGACCAGCTCCCGTCGTAAAAGCAGAAATCGAGAAACCGTTAGCAATTCCTGATAAATTACCGGAAGTATATACAAGCCGTAAAGCGACATTTTATTATAATCAAAAGCATATTTATCGATGGACAGAATCAGATGTATTAGATTTTCTTTATAATAATAAACTAAATGAAGTTATGCCAATGTGTGAGAAAATGGATGGTCGAGCATTAATACAATTATATAAAATGTGTGTAGCACATCCCAGTGGAACATATAATATACTCAATGAGGAACTTAAATTAACACACAATGTTAAATTACCTATTGGAAGTTATACACGACTTTTAAGTGCTATGGAACGAGTCGGTGAACGCCATGCCGAGGTAGTCTCATCAATAGCAAAAGCACGTAATCTACGATCAGCATCGCGACCTAGAATAACATTACCACCACCACCACCAATAATAGTATCATCATCACCATCATCATCACCACCAATTTCTCCTCAACAATCATTTCATAGTCCTCCAGCTGTATTACATACTCGTGATTTGCATTCACCTTATGATATCGTTATTAATTCAAATGCTTCGACATCAGACGTGATAAAAGCAGCTCAACGCTTGGCACCTCACGTAAAGTCGATAAATCCTTCACAACAACGTACATTATATATCTGAGAGTATTCGTGTATTACCGGTGATTTTATGTTTTACTAAAACTTTCAAAACTAACGGTTCACAAAAGAAAATTTTATGAAAAACAATATTTTAATTGTTTTTGATTGATTTAAATACCAGTAAATATTTTCTTGAAAAATCTCCTTTTTTTTGTTTCGATATACTTTTATATTTACTACTATACTGTTATAGCAATTCAATAATCATCAATCGTATTACTATATAGTATAAAAAACAAACTTCATCAAGAACATATTAGTGTATTATTATAAAAAAAATAGGTTTACACATTTCGGAAAAAAAAAGATTAATTAAATATAGATATCGACATTAAAAAAAAATTATTATCTTACTAGAGAAGATTTATTCATTAGTAATCATATTTATATTGAATAGAATAATTTACGGAAATAAAATTTTTATTTTCTTCACATAATAATATCTGATTTGTTCGAACTATCAAAATATACTGTTCATATATGAATATATCATGAAAAGAAAAATCACACAAATACACATGTTTAACTTAAATAATCAATTGATAAAAAAAAATATATATCGATGTCATTTAATTTTCATTTGAATTTAACAACAAGAAAATATCGGATAACGATCATGAAATTTTTGTTTGAAATGTTTGCGCTCAGGTGTAATATCCGCATATTGACGTTCAACAACAACACCTGGCATTTGTACTAATTGAAATGGCGATTTACCATCACGCATAGCCTGAGCTAAATTTAATATCTGTCCACGTATTACAGATAACTGTCGTTCGACTAAACGACGATCATAATTTTTATCTTGAGAAAATAAACGTTGAATGTCATCACAGATTTCATGTTGAACATAATTCATATCAGATAAAGATGGTAAAATAAGAGATTTAATTTCTTCAGAGAATGGTATTTTCGCGAATTGTAACCAAGCCCAATGAAATGGATATGCACGCCATTCATCAGGATGTTTAAATGGAAATGCAAGACCATTATCAATAGCTGCTATATGAATCTCATTTGTTATTACAACATCATCTGTTTTAGATGTATCATTTTCGTTGATATTATCAATCTAGATAATATAATTTTTTTTTGCATATATTCATATAATTAAAGTTAATTTATTACCTGTTGCTCTGATTGATACAAAGGATTAGAAAGCCCATGAAGAAGCTGCAATACGATAACGAAGAAGGATAAGATGAGAATACATTTATAAGCATTTAAAACAATACGAAAACACTTACTTTATCTCGTTCGTTGTTGGTTTTCACATCGTATTTAACTAACCAATTACTATTATTACGATCTATATACAATAGAAAAAAAAATATTATTAAAATATGTTTATTATTTTTGATATGTTCAACAACAAGATGAGTCATTGTTGCCACCTGTGAATATAAAAATATTTATCTAAGATTGTATATCAAATGTCAATAATATGAATAATATTTTTTTGGATATCAAATACTACAATACGTCCCGTCTGAGAAATAAAATTTAAAATAGATCGAAACTATTTCTTATCAATTTGATCTTTGGGATAGAAGGATTTTTTTCCTGTATTGTAATTTAATTTAAAATGTAACTGAAAAAACAAATTACCAGTATTTCGAATAATATAATCCAATACAACCATTTTTTCAAATTGTCTCTGAAATTTATTCATAGCTTCATCTGGCAAAGGATTTTGTCCTATTAGTTTAAGAAACACGTCAGCATCAACATAGTTTTCAACAAATAATTGTAATGATCCAATCTTAAATAATGATGTTTTTTTTTGAATTGTTATAAAGAAATAATAAATCAGTTTTTACTTTTCGTGGTAAACCTTTTGGTCGAAAAACTCGTCTACCATGTATATGACGACTGACACTTTGATTTATTTCATGTTTAGCTGTTATTAAATGTCTTTGATATGCAGGATAATTAAAAGAAGCAGCAGCCAAACGTACAACATGAGTTTTAGGAACTATATTTAAACCAAGTTTAGTATCAATTATACTAGCACCAGCTTCGGATAGATAGCCTTGATTAGGAATAAGACAACCACGACCAAAACAACAAGGACAAAGAGTTTTATGTAACCTATAAGAAAATATTTATATGAAAAAAACTTATTATTAAATTAATAAACCATTTTGTCCATTTGGGATTAAAACGACCATATGGTTCTTCATCTTTTGGTTTAAATACGCCAATAGTTTTCTATAAAATATTAGATTTGAATATATATATATATATATTAACTGTTTGAAAAACATACGCCTTCCAGATTTCGAACAAAATAAGAGCCAGATGAACCAGCTGCTATTCGTACAGGTAATATTCCACCGTCAATAGCTCTTTCAGCTTGTTTAACAATATCAATATATTCTTCATCAACGATATCTGTATCATATGATGTTAATTGATGATTGTCAGATAATTCCATATTACTTGTTATCGATGGTGAATGTAGAAGTGGTAGACGTTCGTTGTTTTGATTACTATCTCGTGAATTCGAATTTTTTATACGTGTAACTTCATAGTCATCAATATCGGAAGTTGTTCTAATTGAAAAATAAATAAATTTTATTTAATAAAAATAAACATAAATATTTTTCTATGGCAGCATGATTGAGCAAACAATTTACCTGTGTACTAAAAAACGATCTTCTAATATTCCCTATACGTGTTTTATTATTAATATAAGACTAGACAAAATTAATACTAACCTTTTCAACACGTTTAGTCATTGGTATGATTTTAATTAATATTCTTTTATTTATTTTTTTCTATGTTCTTCGTTTACTCAATTAATCGCTTTAAACGGTGAGTACATGAATCATCTTCACCTTGTATGACTAATGGTTAATTGAAATCACATAATTAAATAAAAACAGTTAATAATTTTATTAATTTATCAATTAATATTTATTATTCAAGTTGAAAATTTTATCTCGAGAGTATATATAATACGATAGATGGCATTATTAGTAGGCATTTATCAGTATAAACGAGAATTTTCATATTTATGCTTTTAGGTAGTAGCGCAACCAGATAATCACAGGTGTCCTGACTACGCTATTAGTTTTAGGTCTTATTGAAAGTTGTCAATACTGGATTAGAGAAAACTCTTATAGTATATATTCAAATTAGTTTTTAACATGTCTTTCATCATATTTGGTTAAAATTCATAGAGAATGATGCTCGTGATATATGTTCATTTAATTGACTCAGCTTGAAATCGAACATTCTGGATTTAATACGCACCTGTTGGTATGAATAACACACAAGAGTATAGGATTGTGTAAGAATGTATGCAAAATTTGTTGCTTATCGATACAAAAAAAGGGAAAATAATTCACATTTGTAAATCAATTATTCAATTCGGATGTAAGAGAATTTCATTATAGAAATATTAACAGCATAGTTCAAATCTAGACTCAAAAATGTTGAGTACGACCAGCTTCTAACATGGTTACATTCAGAAAGAAGACATTAATCTTTTTTATTTATATATGAATGTAAAATATTAAATTGAAGCCTTATATCATGAAATTATTATTAAATCATCGTAGTTTGTGATTAGTATAGACGATTCGCGAACCGGAACGATAAGCACGCAAGCATCTGAGTGTGGGTGAGGGCGCTGATCCAGAAAAGATAACATCGATAGATTCCTGTATCCATGTCGATTCATATTTGCCTTGACTTTCTTTGTTTTCGCTGATATTATGGACCTAAATACTCGCGTATCCATCATTCACTGACCCAGATGATTCAAGCAGAAACTTAATGTTATCTTTCAACAAGGGAGTGTATTCGGGCGTACTGCCATAGAGTAAGTTTTAAAGAATATTCTGCTCTATAGAGAATTCAATTATGAACTTCTCTAGTTATTCTTTTGATGTCTACAACAAAAATTAACCAATATTTAATTTGCGAAAATTTTCTTCTAAGACTTTTTATGCAAGTCAGTTAGAAGTAATGAATGATGGCTTTGTATAATAAAAATAGATTTAAATTAGATGTAAACAAGTCGAAAAATAGAAATTTACTCTTATAATTGATCGATTTTTTCATAAATGATGTAGATTCGTTTGTTTTAATTTAAAATATCGCGAATAAATGGAACGTTTGTTTTAGTTGGGTTCGATGTATGTATTAAAATAATGACAAAATTATGAAAAACTTTTCTTCTGGATAGTATACAAAAAAAGTATCCCGAGAAAGGTAGCAACATTGGTCACAAAAAAAGGCTTCTGATGAATGTAAATATAAATATCATATTCTTCGTTTCATCCAGGTCATTGCCTGATAGAGTATTTTTTATTTCTTATAATATCGTGATAACTAATAAGAGTGTTATTAATATTTTCTTTTTTATTCGATCAAAAAGTCATTACGACTAATAATGCTCCTGTAAGCCTATCGTTTAGAGAGAGAAAAAATACAATCTAGATAAGAAATTACCACAGTAGTCCTCGTAGAATAAAAAAATGTTAAAGTTATTCACAACAAAGGAAGTAATCAGCACGTGCAACGAATACAACAGAAAAATATTTTCGAATCATTGTTCAATTCATATATTTGATAATTATAATCATAAAAGTATTTAACAAAGTGATTATCGTGATAAAATATAACTTGTTAAGCTTCTATATACTATGTCACGAAATATAAACATGTCACAATTTCGAGAATCAATATATAAAGATTATTGAAATATTCCTATTTTAGATCTTTTGACCTTCGAAAATGTGTTTCCTTATAAAATGTTTTTTTATAATGATGGCATGTATACAAAAAACATTGCATGAATGTAAATTATTCATTATTATTAATCTAAAGAGAATATAAATGATTCATTTCTTTTTATATCCTGGATCAAAAACAAGAGTGATACTCATCGATCACTTAAAAAGATGCTAATCATTCAATTGGAAGGCTGTTAAAGTATTATTTCTATTTGTACAGATTTCTTGTTAGTTCTCTCATGCAATTCTAAACGTACTGGAATAATATTCGTATGTCTTATCATCCAATATTTATAATATGTGTTTTGTGTATAGAGATGGAAAATTATAATTGTAAATCATTCGAAGTTCTCGATCTAAATCATTCTCTAGAGAGTTTTTCTTTTCTTTCCTGTGTACTTGTTTTGTTAACTATATAACAGAAAAAAGTCACATTACATATAAAGATTTTCTAATCCTTAAGAACATCAAGTAGGACAATGTCTAAGTAACTTTTGCAAGTATGTTTTTGAAGTGAATTGTTCTGATAATGATAGAAATGAATGTTGTCTGCAGATATCTTTTCCTAATAAACATATTCGCATGAAATTTTTCTGACATTGTTTTTAATGAGACTGAAACCTTGTAGTTTACAAATGCAAAGCACTTTCTCATGCTTGTTTTATACATCTGAAGTATGATATGTAAAAAAATACAATAAAACCTAGAAATATGCGCTTGACAACATTATTTTTTTAATGAAATAAAAATTTTATTCTTCAACATTAACAGAAAAGAGTCAGTACATTTATAAGATAAATATTATTTTCAATATAACAGTAATGTATTGTTTGCGTATGATTATATAAAAGTTTATTTAGTTTGCATTTAGAATGTAATCGTGTCATGATGCTCAGGAAATAAGTATAGTTAGTGTCACATGCAATATCCTATTTATTATACAAAAAATATAGATCATGAAACCTAGTGTATCAAATGAGAAGATTAATAATGAATAGCTTAAAGTATTTTTAACATAGTATTACGATGAAATATTATTAAATTTTATGAAAATCGCAAGAAACTCTTCTGTATTTTTCTTAAATTTCATAGAATGAGACAGATATTTTAGAATAGACCACTTATTGTTTACAGACGACGAGTTTTCTACATATTTATTTAAAATTGAAATAGACGCTTCCGTGCAACTGTTAGATATCATCTATTCTTTATGATTATTAATAGAAATCGAAAAGATAATCTTTTACGAGAGAGAATCTTCCAGAAAGAAGATATTAGGTATCTCAGAATATTTATGCCTGCTTCATTTTTTTTATATATCTCACTATAACCCAGTGAGAAAAATATTAATCTTTTAGAAAAGAAGATCTATAAAAAATCCTGATATAAATTCCGATTTGCAATGTGGAAAAGTCTTCTGATGCTCTGTATTGTGAGAGGTAATTCTAAAATGTAAGGTTTTATTTTAAGATAAGATATATTCAAAATAAAATGTGCCCAGAGCTTCTTAGACATTTAGGATAGTATTTAAAAAACATGAAATGTAGATAAAGAAAAGATGTAAACAAATATATTTGAATTAGAAAATTTGTGATCAAACTCTTAGGACATTTTTCTAGCGCTCTTGATTGTGTGTCTTGTAAAAAATATATTCAAGAAAGTTCTCTTTTTCTTTCGTATTTATTTTACATTAACCATAAACTAGTTCATAGCTTGAATTCAGGTAAGTTTTTGTCCTATAGTATAGATTTGGTATAATATTCATAAGGTCGATGATTTTTCTAAAGAAATATTAATAGAGTTACATCTGTTTCTGGCACAGTTGTTATACTTCATATTTTATTCATTATTTATAAGATCAAGATTGTTCCACATGCTTAAATTGAATGAAATAGACCTGATAACAGAAATCCAGAATAGATTTTAATTGACATTCATATTTTCCATTTTGCATCTGACAAAAAAAATCGTCTAACTGTTAACTTTCATTTGAGTTCATATAATGACTAGAGATAATGTCTATTTGTTAAAAATATACCATCGAGATATAACCGATCGCTGATAAGAATAGAATCTTTGTTAATGTTCAACTAAAGAATAGATTAACAGTCCCTAGTCGAACTTTTTTTTAGAAGCGCATGAGATTCTTGACTTTCTTGAGGTCAGGCCTGGTCAAGCGTTTGAAAAAAAGGTTCGACAAGGGATATTATCTGATCTAATAGTCATTTTTGCACGTTGTTCAAATTAATATTTTTATTATTCTTGTATATGATTAACATTTAAGTTAAAATATACAGAGTACTTATGCGTTTCCTCGTCTATGATTGTTTTTTTAGTATCATCATCAAATAATAAGAACAATGCAATCAGGATCTATTCATTTCCGTCATATGTCGAGATCGAACCACTTACATTTCGTATTTTTGATTTATTTGTTATGTTGAGACTATATGTGATTAGATAAAAAGAAGAAAAGCCCTGGGTATGTAGACCTTTTGAACTAGATCGAAATATATAAAATAATTTAATTAAAGAGACCTTTGTTACATATCGGTAATAGATTTTTTTTCTCACTAGGGATACTCTGTTCATGGCTGGTAAATAAATAAAATATGAGTTTATATAGAAAAATTTCAATCGGGAAAACTATTTTTCATTGAAATATAAAATATATCGTCATATCAATCTTATGTAAACTTGTCATTTTTTTTCTGCTTCGAAGCCCAATAATATAAAGTCATGTATGGTTTTCAATTACACAATAAACACAAAGGAAAGTTATTAGTCCGATAGACTTTCTCGTTAATCATATGAAAACTAATAGTTAAAGTTAGCTTTCTAATAGGTGAAGTTCTCACTTGACATGACTTTATTCAAGGTCATTCGTTTTTTTTAGTAAATAGAGATAGTTGTTATTCTGTAAGGAATATGACCTACATATAAAATTGGTTTAGTTTAATGTAGAATAAACGATGTCATATATATATAGAGAGATGATGCTTTCAAGATGACACGCAATAGTTATATAAAGTATATATTAACTAACATTTTTCTCAGGAAAAAAAACTTCCGACTTTACATGCAGCATGCTCAGGAAAACGAATTAAGCAAAGTTAATTCTTTAAAAAGGATGTACGCATGTCAATGATCTTTTTTTGTTTATCATACATAGATTAGTATATGCTACATGATACATAATATGTGCACTCAACGATAATATTTATGTTTATTAATTCAATCGTTTTTTCTCACTAAAATATATCAAATATCTTCTATAGATATTAATTTATTCTTATATTGCCTAGATCACTCTCAATTGATTAGTTTTATTATTTACATAAGAAGAAAAATAGAATAGAATGTTTTCTATTCTGAGTACTTTTAAGTAATCGGAAGGAATTGATGATTAATAAAGCTTTCATATGATTGTACTAACAATTGAAGTTCACTTCTTTTCTTTTTCTTCTTCTTCTAATTTTCTATAAATGATAAGATACTTAGAACTCTTCAATTATATTCAAGAATATCACGAATTCTATTTCCTTTCAAATAATTGAAAAACATCATACTTTACTTTTATAAACCATTATTAATGTCATTTTCAAGTTCTTTGATATTTTCTTGTACCGTCTGTGTAGACATAATCATTGACGTTTTCTCGAAATGGGAGATGACAATATTCTGCCAGACAGACTTTAGCAGTAAGTAATCGAAAAAAGATTATTTTCTAGAAATAATTAAACATTTTCCCAATAGGATATAAAATGAGTCTTCATCAATTTATTTCTATTTGAAAGTTGTACTTAACGAACGTAGAAGAACTTTTTTTTATCAAATGAAACGAAATTAGATTCATATTGTCGTAATTGGTACTATTGTTTTTTTGGACCGATAATTTCTGGAAAAGTACATTAGACGTATCATTAATATAATTCTCGAAAAAATAATAAAAACAGTTCATTAAAACAGATATAAACAACGACAGGAATTTCTGAGTTTATTATTCAGTTTTTTAAAGTTATTTTTGTCATATTTTATCCGATAATATTAACATCAAATCTGTCTTTTTTTGATTTTCATTATGAAAATTTCCCCAAGAATTTATCTTTCTATTAATAATATTTTTTTGATAATCGTATAATTTTTTTACTTTATTTTATAAGTAAAATACGGTTAATTTACTAATGTATACAAAGTAAAACTTTCTTTCTTTTATCCTAAGTAATTTATTTGTCTTTCATGCTGATTAAATCTATAGAAATCTAGAATCTATTTTCATTGAATAGAGAAGCTAAGATGTTTTCAGTTCAGTTGAAAAGTTTTTTAGTAAAGAAGTGTTCATTAAAATAATAAATCAAGTAGGTTATTCTAAATATTTTTAAAATCAAGCGTAAAAAAATATTTTATATTTAGAAGAATATTTTTAATGAAAGTATTTTTTTGTTCTTCGATTGTTATGACGTATAGAAGATAGACTTTTTTAATGTAATAGAAGGAATGTATTGTATTAACATTTTAATGAGTGAAATGACGTTTGAAGATTTTGTTTTTGGAATATTCTAATGACATTTCTCTGTCTGAATTTAATCAATGAAGTTTTTTTAATAAAAACATATATTTATTATTATATATAAAATATAGTTATATTGATTACAACATTTTAAATCAAAGAAAATTGTAATGTACTTTTTCTTCTTTTATTGTAGATACAGAGTACATATTTTATTATTCGATTAGATAATTAAAAAACATTAAATCTTAATCTATCAAATTTCATAAATTATTTTTGAATGTAAGTACATTTTTCAAAATAATTTCATATATGTCACTGACATTATTAATAAAAATAATGTAAACATTATTAATTAAGAGGATAAAACTTGTTTTTTCATATTATATATTATTGTTAGAAATCTTGAAATTTGTTTCATCTATAATGATAATACACTTTAGTTAGAGAGTTTTCTTAATGATTATAATAAACTTGTCAGTCACATTCCAATTCTCTATTTTTAAACTTAAATTAAATAACACGTTTAAATATTCGATGACTTTTATTTCGTTTCTTTTTTTATTGTTTGAGAATTATAAATTATCTAGCTTCATATTTTATTCATATGTCATATTAATTCTTATTCAATATATAAATTGAGAACTTTCTGTATCACATTCAGTCTATAATTAATCTTTTCGGGACGGGTGGTACACGGCATATAACCATAGTCTTTTTGTTTTTGAACTGAGACATGTTATGTATTAACGATGAGAAGTAGTTGTGTATGTATCAGACTATGCTGAATGTACTGATTCACATCCTGAATATGATTTACGTGATTATCCCCTTTTCTTCTCTACGTGAATCTATTATACTGTATCTTTCTAATTTATTCTTTTACATACGCAAATGAACATGATGTTCTTAGATGGTATCATCATCTATACACAATCTTTGACTTTCTATGATCACTATAAGATCATCCTATATCTCCTTCCGTTCTACTTTCATACCTTGATGTGCGCATATGTTTTCCTTTCTCTCATATGCTCTTTTAGTGAATCTTTTCCTTTCCACACTCTTGTATAAATGTATATCCATTACAAGAATAAAAATTTACAGGTAAATGATAAAAGTAGGCAATGTTGCCATTGATTTACTCTTGTTTTTAACATATTTTTTTCTTTTCAAAAAAAGAATCTCATCCTATAAGAGTTAATAAGCTTTATTAAATGTTGATCACGTATTGTAATATATAAAATATTTTGTTTTTCTTCTTTTAGTTTTAATTTAATAAAAAAAAAAAAGATGTTCATTGAATCGTGTACATGGATTACATTTTCACTTATATTTATTGGTTCATTAGGTAACATATTATGTATATGTGTATTTCTTCGAAAACGTTTTCGTTCATCTATTTTAACACCATTTTTTGTTGCATTATTAATTACGGATTGTATTTATTTAATGTTTCGTGTTATTAAATTATTATATTATCAAGAAACATTATTTGAACATTTCTCATCACAATTATCTTGTTCGTTAAGTTTATTTATACGTATATATAGTTCTTTTGCACGAAATGCACCACAAATATTAATACCATTAAGCCATTATGAATTATATATACGTTTTACATTAATACTTATGGCATCATTAGCTATTCAACGTGCATATGATATGTGTCGAATATCATTTCGTTTAATTAAACGAAATTCATCATCAAGATCATTATCATTTATACTTATTATTAGTACATTTATAATTGCATATTTATTAGAATTTTTTGGTTTAAGTATTTTTTGTTCATATGAACTTAGTTCAAAAACAACTTATCAATGGTACACTTATTTACATAAAAATCTTTCAAATGAAACTATTTCTTTAATTAATTTTATGCGTAATCAATCAGCAAGTGAAAAAGATATTAAATGTATTAGTAATAATAATTATAATAATTCATCTTGTACACATGAAGAAATTGCTCATATAACTCGTAAGTACATTTTAACGATTATTAAATTGAAGAAACAAATATATGTTGAGTACTTTTTTTTTAAGTAGAAGATAAATATTAGAATTACTTAGTTATAATTAAATTTTTTCAGAAGAGTTATTCGGTATAGATAAAAGAAGATGTATTGATATAAATAGATAGATGATGAGATATTTTAAGGAATGCAATCAAAGAAAAAATGAATCCTTTTCTTTAAAAAAATTTTCATATTTGAAGTTTGATAAGAATTGATTAGTTATTATATATAGAGAACTTATATTTTTCTCTAGAATAATCTTCTCTTTAATTAAACGTCTAATTATATGCCTGGATATTGCTTGTTTTATTTTATAGACCAGCAAAAATTTTTCTGCACTCTTGAGTTTATGAATTCTGTAAAATCGTTAATTATCTAAAACATGAATTTTATCATAAACTATTTGCGTTAAAAAATACGTCTGTCATTCCACTAAAAAATATGAACTAATGTTTAATTATACATCAGTAATTTTTTTTTGAAATTCTTAGTAGATTTATAGGCAACACATACTTAACACATGAATTATAATGATAAAACTTTCAAAGGTTATAATAAACAATTGTCTAGAGATTAACGTATTGATACGATTTATATTTTTAAAGAATTGCTGTCGAGCTATTGATCCGTACGTTATATAAATCTCATCGGTATCTTATTTTGTAGGAAATTGTTCATATTATGATTAGCGGCGGCGCCAGAAATTTAGATTAGGGTGGACTCAGACCTAATGAATTTTAAAGAGGGTGGGCTCATATAGAATATCATTGGTTTTTTTAAGATCTGAAAAAATTTCAGGGTAAGCTGAGCCCACCCTTGGCGCCGCCACGAATTATGCTACAGCATCTATTGAAACTCAGAGTCTTACACTAAACGTTGAAGCTATTATTAGTAGAAATCTAAGACATATCTCATATTTTTGGTAATGAATAACAGCAGACTATGTTTAGCTTTTATGCATGAGTTTTATTAGTAAAAAAAAACTCTTTGAAGTGTTTTTAATACCAATGTCACAAAAATAGTCTTTTTTCAATTTTTGAAGTTTTACTTAGTATCATTCGGAAGAGCAGGACTTCATAACATTCTGCTTCATATGATTTTATCAACGTATAAAGCCGTATGAATTTAATTAATCTTTCTTTTTAAGGTCACTATTTCGATATACATCAACGACCTATTGTTGAATTAATACGAAAAATTCACTTTTCTTCTATGGGTACAAAAATAGCACGGAATGAACTTCGTTTAAAATATCATTATCATACATGCTTAGTTCGTTTGCAACCAGATTTATTTTTAAAATTATTTGATGTACTTTATTCACGTACACTCGGATTTAATCGATATACACTCATACTTGGTAAGAATAAGCAAATTTATTTTATCAAATAAAAAAAACTTTTTAATTTAGTTATTGGAAGTATAATTCCATCAATAATAACAATACTTGGAAATACAATATCATTACGATGGATTTTAAATATTCGAAATTCAGTTTATGAACATTCTGCTATATTTCGTCGAACAGATGAAACACGTCGAGTTATTATTATAATCACAGTTGAATGTCTTTTAGCTGTTATTAATTCTTGGCTTGTTGATATTATATTAAGTGTTGTATTTTGTAAATGGTCAGTAGCTATTGGTGATGATTGTCCAGAATTTTTAGAACATTATCATCCATTATTAGCTTTTTTTGATTTACTTAATTCAATGTCAAATATAGTTTTATATTGTTTTGCTACAAAACGGTTTCGTCGTGAATTAGAATGTATGCTCAAAGGATGGATAAATACAATAAGACAAGTTTTAAGAATTATTTTTAAATGCGAATGGACAAATTCATCAATAAGAAGAAAAAAATTTCATGATGAACACAGTAATGGTCCAACAGAAATTTCATTACAGTTATTCAAAAGTTCTAAACGTTTTAGTAAAAAATATGATTATATTAAAATAAAAATTGTTTCAACTCCGGATATAATCTAATGAACCAATCGTTTATTTTTATGTTGTTAATAAAAAATTTTTGTAATTAAATAAATATATATAAATATCAATATTTCATTCTTTTAAAGTTGAAATATTGTATCAAAGATATTCATAAAATACCTACCTCAATACATCTACAATTATACGCTCTTTAGAAAATGATACTCTCGAAAAAGAAATTCGTTGTGTGATCTATTACAAACGATAGATAAATAAATTTCTAAAGTAATCATGACTTTTGTGACATTCTACAATATGTAAATATGAGAACACTTAATACTATTAAAAGTAAAATCAATAAACGGCATGAGATTTTCTTTACAAATATTGTTCTACTACTTTAGTTTAGAGAAAACTACGTGACATTTCGAATATTTGTATTCATGCGATTACATGAAAAGAAACAGATGTGATTAAAAGTTCGCTTTATGTTAGACATGTAAAATTGTTTTGTTCCTAATCGATAAGATTTCACATCATTCGAAAATAGATATTTCAATTATTAGAACGTGATAATATAAGGAATAGAATATGAACATCTATCAAGGGGGAAAAAGCGAGACTTCATCTACTTCAAATGTTTTTGAAGTACGAGCGTAGTAGATTGAAGTACGGCTGAAGTAGAATGAAGTAGATTGAAGTACAGGTGAAGTAGATTGAAGTAGAAGTGAAGTAGAAGTGAAGTAGAAGTGAAGTAGATTGAAGTAGAAGTGAAATAGATTGAAGTAGATGTGAAGTACGACTGAAGTAGAAGTGAAGTAGAAGTGAAGTATAATGAAGTACCAGTGAAGTATGAGTGAAGTAAATTGAAGTACGACTGAAGTACCGTGAAGTATCGTACTTCACTGTACTTCAGTCATACTTCACTGGTACTTCATTGTACTTCACATCTACTTCACATCTACTTCAGTCGGGATTTCATTTGTACTTCAAGTACTAGTGAGGTACTTGTGAAGTACTGGTGAAGTATAGTGAAGTACAACTGAAGTACATTGAAGTACCAGTGAAGTATGAGTGAAGTAGAGTGAAGTACGAGTGAAGTAGAGTGAAGTACGAGTGAAGTATCGGTGAAGTAGGGTGAAGTATCAGTGAAGTATCAGTGAAGTACCGGTGAAGTACCGATGAAGTACTAGTGAAGTACACACTCCTGAAGTCTCGCTTTTTCCCCCTTGACATCTATAAGAACTATTGATTAACGAATAATAATTTATCGTAATTTATATCGACTTTTTTCTTCATATAGAACAATATAAATGTGTCTATAAGCTTGATGAAAGATAAAATCTCGAATGATGATCTGATTTGATTTTTAAAATATCTCATATATCATTGTGCGATGTTTTGAAAATTCAATAGATAACAGCTTATTTATTTGACTTGGATATTTACAAATAACTATTCATATAGTTTCTCGTACCCAAAGTAATGATTGAATGCCTTTTTGTACTATGCACTTTCTGGAATAATGATTTTCCCAAGTACAATCTTTAATGAATAAAGCGATGATGCATACGGTGATGTAAGTAATCCGGAAAAGAAAAATCCGGAAAAAAATCTGAAAAAGAAAATTCCGGAAGAAAAAATCCGGAAAAACTTTGTTCGAAATTTATTGAGGGTGTGGGTGAGGACGTGGAGGTAGATGAGTACATTAGTGTGGGTGAGGGCGTAGAGTGTTTCGTTAGTTTGTCATTTAGCCGCATCTATACCCACACCCACCCATCACATCAATATTAATGAAGTTTTCTTACGAAATATAATCTTTATATTGAATTAGATAATAGTTCATTATCTTGTGTTGATACTAAAAATATACCAATTTATGAATCTATATGAACAATAACTGATGCTTCAATTAAATCATCAACACCAAATCATGTTAATATATTCATTAATCCTACAAATACTATTTTCTATTACAATGAAGTTTATTCGAATACAAAGCAATCTAGAATTCAAATAGAACGTAATCAATAAAGGATTATATCATATAATTCACAAATGAAGAAAAATCTCAATCAATTATGGATTTATTTTATAACTTATCTCAATGAGGAACCTATAATGTATATTCATATTTATTGCTATCAAACTGAAGTAAATATCAATCTTGTTCTTATTTCAAATATAAAAATAATTTAGATATATATGGATTATATACAACAATAGAATAAAAATGGCAAATCAAATTCTTGTCTGAAATAACATTCTCGTGAAATAAATGATTTCAATTTTTCTATTGATTAAACAGCATATATATCAGATTATTGGTATCGTATAGTTCTTATTTCCGATGAAAAATTAGAAATTCTTACATTACAAACAATACTAGAACGGCATACACAGTCGAATAAATATGTTAAACAGATGATTTGTATAAAGAAATTAATAGCTGTAGATGTGTAAATACAACTTATGATAGATGGAGAGTAGAAGGTACGAGCAAATATTTGAAAGTACTATATTTTTATGAAAGAAATAATAGATGCTACAATCCACAATATTTCGAGAACAAATACAGTTCTCAATATTATCATCATAATTTTATCAAATAAGATCGCTTACAGTTTGAGATAGTACATAGATGAATTATGCGATTTAGTTACCGTGAATAATGAGCAAAGAGAAAAAGATGTTTCAATGTTTATCAAGTCTTGTTAATTTCAAAGAGATAAAATATACAATATATTGAATATCTGGAAATAAGAAAGAAGACCAGTTTAAAGACAATGATTCATCAATTGGCTGATATATATGTATAGATATAAGATAAATGAATTAAATTACGGAAGAAACAAATAATATAAGATATATTAATATCCATCACAGTTCTAGACAAAATACTAAATATCAATAGTAATACGTTATCTTACCAAATAGCTTCTGCTCTATTAGCTTTTCCCCATTTTGACAAAAAGACAACAACTGATCATCAAATTCTACTTTCATATATAACGTATATCTAAAAGCATAGCATAATTCACTAGGAATATTCTCTATCATCTCATCAGAAATGAATCATATGATAGATATATAGCGTTTTATTTGTATTGTTATTAATATTGTCTTATTGAATATAATATTAACCCTTCTAATACTATAAATGGACATTTCTGTCCATGTGAGTAAAAAATTGCTATTTTTTGGTGAAATATTCAATTAATCGACATCAAATTTTGTTAAGTTCTTTCATCTACCAAATACATTCTTTTCATCTACATGAAAAAAGCTCATGCTATAGTATGATTCACCTATATGTCTTTTTATTATTTTTCTCATGTGTTCATGATTATTTTCAAGTTCTTTCGGAACTTTCCTAGCTTAGCTGTGTAAATATTGCGTGTGAAATGAGTGACGAGAATCCTAATATACCAGATTAATTAGAATATGAATAATAAAGTTGAGCAGAGCTAAATTTTTTATGATTTACATATATGGACAAAAATATCCTTGCATGGTATTCCACGAAACTTTTTCGCACGGTATTAGAAGGGTTAAACATGAATTTATCTGATTAGATTTAAAAAAGAAATATTAACGTATGTTGAGTATATTAATAAGTATGTTATACTTTGTCATGCAAAAAAAAAGCGAATTTAACTATTGTCTTTGCGTAATGAATAAATGTCAATTGATTTAAAAGAACATTATCGAGAGCTTTTTAAATATGTTCTCGAAATAACGAGTACATAAAAATTCTTTTAAAATTGTTGATTATGTATTTACAATCTATTCTTTTTGTATACTTATAGGTAAATTGAAGATGAATGCAAATTAATGAATACCATATCATTTGTCGCCTCCTTCCGACACACTATATTGGAAATTCAATGCCAATGCCTTAATGAGGATGAAGCATATGATTACAATGCGGAGAGTCCTAAACCCGAGAGAACTAAGCCAAAACGATGACAACAACTTTTTAACTCAGTAATTCTTTTAAAATATTTCCTAAAAAAGATCATATATCAATCACTAAATAGTTTTTCTCGTTCGTGGTTGAGGTTATGTCGATCATGCGTACAAAATCCAAGTTTAAAAATATATTAATTATATCTTTGATGTTAATAGAATTGATGAACTATATTCTACGTTCTTACAATAAATGTTACAATAAAAATAAAAATTAGACAATTCTATTTTAAACATCGAATCATTAATATTTGTTAAGTGCAGCTTTTTTTTTAATGAAAAAATTAATTCTTCTCATATGATTAATCATATTCATATTATTTGACATATAAAGAAATAGACATCAATAATTATTGGATGACAACTTCGATTTTCTATTAGTTACAAGAAATTAAATACGCCTACAGATTATGATTTATCTTTCAAATGTCAAATTACGTAGTATAATTGACATATTTTCGCAAATTATTCATCGTCTGTTTCGTGGAAATTATAGAATGAGAAATTTCTCATTAATGATAACAATGTAAAATTATTTCTATGCCACTTGATTTTTAATTTGACAGTTAAATTGTAAACATGACTATTTATGGCAACTGTCTTCGTCAAATAGTAATTATGTTTTTCAGCTACTGATTTCTAAAATAAGAATAAAATCTTATTGATATGTTGAGTCTATCAAAACAAAAAGAATGGTCACCCACGCTAGAAAAATCTCATTTTACATGCAATAAAGATGTCAGATTTTATTTTGAAATAATAGATAAGTCAGATCAACCTTTATTCGATAGAAAAACATGCAATGTTTTTATTATGTGTATTATTTCCGTGTAAGCCAGTGAATCTTAAAAAAAAGGAAATTTTATGACATTCGAAAAGACACCTGTAATGTATCATAGAGTGCATTTTGTTCCCTTTTTTAAATAGAAGAAAAATCAATGTCAGATTTTTTCTGAATAGAATGTATCAAGCGAAATTCTCTTTAAATAAAACGAGAATAATAATATATTCAAGCTAATCTTACAGATTATCGTTAGTTTGATAGATTCAATGTATCCTTTTGAGGAACGTTATTTTCTAAGAAGCAATCATTATATGATGTATTATTTATTTACAAGGGTATATCTGATAAAAAAGAATTTTCATTATTATTCGATTAATTTAGTAATATATTCAAATAACTGTACTACCTGTAATGAAGATTAATTACATGAAAAAATGCCATAAGTTTTATAAATAGATTAACTAAATAAAGCTTGTCATAGGGAGTATTTACGATGTTCATTCATATATAATTAATAAATAAAATATACGGTCTAATAAATATAAATAATTTATGAAAAAAAAAGAGATCCATTAACACTTGAGAAGTTAGAATTTTCTTTCTACTGAATAATAATCATATATAACTGGTTTTTACATGTGTGAAAAAATTATTAACTAATATTCTCGATTTTTATATACAATGACGTAAATATCGTCGACTTTTTTTAAGTATAGAACGACATATTATTATTATTATTATTATACGACATATATGTTCAATTGAATGAAATGAAAAAGAAACCAATTTCATTTTATGCTACAATGCTTTTTGAATTAGAAATAGCGTTGGTCGACGTCATCATTAGGTACTCTTATTACTATTATTAAAAAATAAGAAGAAAACTAGCTACAATCAGTTGAACAGAAGAGCATCATAGAAATGATAGCGTGCAAAACTGAAGAGATAGACAACAATAAGAAAAGGCGAGAAAGAGAGAAAATATTTTTTTTCTTCTTGCTTATTTATTTCTATAGCTAGAGTTTGTAATGACACACATCACATCTCTTCTTTCGAATAAAAAGAAAGACGATCGATCTCATGTCTTGTCAATTAGTAAAATATGTTAAGACTATATAAGAAAATCTCATCTTGTCTTTCTTTGTTAAGTCATATTTCTATAATCGAAGACACATTCTTAGTTATTGGTAAGTAGATGATTATTTTTTTTATGTAAAAACTCATGAAATAAAAAATTTTACCTAACTGAAAAAACAAGATCTGTTTTATATCAATCACGAGAATTGAATGTTTTTCATGTTTATGTAAATTTATCGAAATAAATCATTTTATATTCATATCACATAAGCAATTGTGAATATATTTATGTAAAAGTAAATGTTTTTGTCTTTTGTTTTCTACACTTAATAACATAATATTCTTTGATTCGTTACAATTGAGTAATTTCGTACACTTAAGAATGTACTTTATTGATAGGTTTAAGGATTATTTTACGTACTAGAATGATTAACCTTTTTCTTTTTTACGTGTAAATTGTTTTTGTTCTTATTTTAGAATATAGATTTTTATAGAATTGAAAAGACATTTCAAATCACACTATCTATATATATTAGTACGTACTTCAATCAAGTCAGACAGGTAGCGTGAGATGTCTGTATCACATTAAAATGTCGAATCAAATTTAACGTATTCTTCCTATAATAGTATATCAAATTCCACTAGATAAGATCTTTATATGATACATCTTTACATTTGACAATGTATATAATTATGCTAAATGATGGTGTGTTTTTGATATAGTTGAGCGGAGCGTTATTGTTTATCCTCCTGCATAGTAGAAAAATAAATAGTTGAACGTGACAATTTACTCAAGTGCGTTTCTGAATTCGTCGACAAAAGCGACGCATTCTGTCCCTCACATTCAATGACAGAATCATTATTGAAGTTGTGTATAATTTAAAGAAGTACTCTCATTTCCGTCATGTTTTTCTTTGTTCCTAAAGTTTTAATATTTAATTATTAGATGACTGAGTAAATATCTTTAGTTGTCTTTTCTTTTTTTTTCTTGTCACATCCAATACAGTCGTTGATTAATAAAAAAAAAATAATTTTTTCTTTTTTATTGCTTTATAAATCTCATTAGTTTCTTATTCGATAAAAATTTTTCATCTTACTCATATTCAGTTTTCTTCTTTTTATATGACAGTAAAATTAAAAACACAGTCTGATTGATTCAAGGCCTTTCTTTCTATAGTTATTATCTATGAACGTTTTCATGATAAAGATTGGAAGTTTGTGTTAATCCTCTGAACAATTTTCCGAGGCCTTCAGTGAAGTAGAAAGCACGAAAATATTACTTCTAATTAGATAACAAGGTAGGTAGTCAGTCAACTATTCTATAGCAAAATAGACTACCTAATTCCTTTATACATATTCTATGAAAAGTAAGGTTGTTAAACTTTAATTTAATTAATATTTAGTCAAGATTTGTTTTTAATAATTAACTATATATAATAAATATCAGAAAAAAATAATGCCTATAGCTAACGCTCCTATCTAAAAGAGTACAATTTCCTTTTCCTGTTTTTTTTCCCATTTATTCATGACATATCTGTATATAAACAATTAGTTTATTTAGTAAATATTCATTTTTATCAGTATTATATAGTTAGTTTTGTACACAAGTTTTTTTTCATTATTATCCGAAGTAGTACAATGAAAATATTGTAATTAAAAATGTAGGAGATTTTTCATGTTCTTTGTTTTAGAACAATGAGTTGAATAGTTTAATAGAATTTCTTTTCTGCATTAAATATAGAAAATATTTCAGCCAAATTAAACATAAATCTGTTTCTCTTCAATAATAAATTCTAATTATATTATTCAATTGTCTAGTCTGATATTGATGCATATAATTAATATTCAACTTTTATCTCTCGAGATATGACTTGACCTAAATCAGGTCAAATCAACTTGTTTTCTTTAATTCTCTATAGACTTCGTATTCTACTATAAAAAAAAGTGTCGTCATTCATTCATAGAGTTAAATAGAACTTCAAATGGTATCTAGTAAAATCGTTTTTTGTTCTGTTTTAGATAAATATGAATAATTCATTAGCATATTCACATGTAAATCTAACTCGATGGGTATCAAGTATTGTATCACCAATAATCTTATTAGGTTGTGCTATTGGCAATATAGTTTCATTTTTTGTTCTTATACGACCACGTCTTCGTAAACAAACAACATCAATTTATTTAGCTGTTTTATGCGTTGTTGAATTGGGCACTTGTTACACAGGTTTATTACGACAATTTCTAATTGATGCATTTAATCTTGATATACGTTTAATAAATTCATTTACATGTCGTACACATATTTATTTTACATATGTATTTGCTCGTTTAGCACCATTATTATTAGCACTTGTTACATTACAACGTTATTTATATGTTAGTCAACTTGCTCTATGTTCATTAAGATCAACCTGTATACAAATATTTTGTTGTATTTTATTTGTTTGTTTAGCTGAATTTCATTTATTTTTATATTATGACTATACACATTCAGATACGCGACCACGAGGTCAAAATATACCATTTGAATGTACTGTTGATAAAATCCGTCATAATCAATATTATAAATTTCGAGATGAAATCTATCCAAAAATAACACTTATTGCGTATACAATAATTCCATTAACAATAATTATACTTGGTAATGCATTACTTGTACGTACAGTACGACAAGCATCAAAACGATCACAATCAACAACAAATAAAAAACGTTCAGTAACAAGAATGTTATATGCTGTTAGTATACTTTACACAGTTTTAACATCACCAGCATCAATATTTCTTGCAATAGCACCAGCAAATATTCAATTAAAATCATGGTTTCGTATTAGTTGGACAGTATTACGTTTATTATTTTATTTATGTCATTCAGTTAATTTTATTTTATTTTGTGCAAGTGGAACTTTTTTTCGACAAGAACTTGTTGCGTTTCTTAATTCATTATATTTTTGTCGTTCAATTTATCCAAGCGAAACAATTCAATATGAAAATAGATTTTTAAATAATAATAGTGTACGACATAGAACTAGTTCAACACGTTCGAATCGTAAACAAGATCAAAATTTTCATGAACACAAACATACAGAAAATACACTTATTGTTTCATAATGCGCATATATGTTTCTTTTCTTAAATATTAGCTTTA